TGTAGATAGAGACTATGTACACCTACACGTGTTGAGTGAGAATGTATACGCATGCATATGTAGATTCAGACTGTATACACCTACACGTGTTGAGTGAGAATGTATACACATGCATGTGTAGAAAGAGGCTGTATACACCTACACGTGTTGAGAGAGAATGTATACACATGCATGCGAAAATACAGACTGTATACACCTACACGTGTTGAGTGAGAATGTATACACATGCATGTGTAGATAGAGACTATGTACACCTACACGTGTTGAGCGAGAATGTATACACATGCATGTGTAGATACAGACTGTATACACGTACACGTGTTGACTGAGAATGTATACACAGGCATAGATACAGGCTGTATACACGTGTTGAGTGAGAATGTATACACATGCATGTGTAGATAGAGACTATGTACACCTACACGTGTTGAGTGAGAATGTATACGCATGCATATGTAGATTCAGACTGAATACACGTACACGTGTTGAGTGAGAATGTATACAGACATACACCCGCACCTGTAGACTGAAATTGTACACCCACACGTGGATAGTGAGAACGCATACACCTGCATATCAAGCAAACTTTAGTGGGGTTGTTATTTGTCTAGAGAAATCAGTTCAAAGTAGAGGGTGTAATTCAAATCTGCTCGTTCAGCGATTTCACACCACGGTGTTGAGATACGGAAATGAAATAATTTCTTTCAGTTGTCAGCAAGTCCTTGTACAGGGAATACATACAATTTCACAGTGGTCTGCAAAGTCGTTTCGTTAGGGATCTGTACGATTCCCAGTCTGGTTCCCTGGGTCTGTTGCGCCTGCGCTAACGCTCCGACTCAGTGAACCAGGCTGTACGATTCCTGTCTGAGGAATTCGGTAACGATACGATGTTTCATGCAAAGCCAGAATAGTTTGACGGTAAATATTTTTAGGAGTACAATGCAATACAAGTCGTAACGATAAGAGCTTTGTGCAGATGGGCCCTGGTCAGCATGTGTATACATAATCACCAAAAATTTCACCCATGTTATGTTCATGGGATATTTGTACATATTTGGTCGAGACAATGTATGTGGGCGTCACAAGTCTATACTTTCACGTGTGTGAGCGACACAATGCCCTCGCCTCTATGTGTGTGAACATTTTTTACAACTGTGCATGTGTGAGCGACATGGGTTTCACCTGCACACATGTGAGTGACTCAGTGTGCACGCCCCAAGTGTTGAAGTGACGGGCGGTGGGGTGGCCTAGTGGTTAAAGACTTGGCTCATTCAGCCTGAAGCTGAGAAATCTAGACATGGGTACAATGTGTGAAACCCATTTCTGGTGTCCCCCGCCGTGATGTTGCTGGAATATTGCTAAAAGCGACGTAAAACCAAAACTCAGTCAGTCAGTCAGTCAGTTGAAGTGACAGTCTACACCTTCACAAGTGTGAGCGAGATGCTGCATACTGATTGGTATAGGATCGTGTACAACAAATTAGTTAAGCACCTGTCCCCATATCTCTTAGTGTCATCGTTCCGTTACATGAAGGGGCGGTGGGGTAACATTGTGGCTAAAGTGTACTCTCGTCACGCCGAAGGTTCGGGTTCGATTCCCCACATGGGTTCAATGTGTGAAGCCCATTTCAGGTGTCCCCACCGTGATATTGCTGGAATATTGCTAAAAGTGGCGTAAATCCCAACTCACTCACAGTTACATGAATGTGTCCCCAAACCCCGTTCCTTTATAGTTAGCGAACACCTAGCGAACACCTACAAGCCTCACGAACGTTCTTACTTTCTAGTGCATCACTTGTGAAAAGGGGAGATCGACACAAACACAATCCCTTGGAATTAGGTGAAGAGATTCCACGACCTTGGAACAAGTGAGTCAAGATGCAATCTATTTCAGCAAGACTGCTGTCAGATAATACGTTGACACAATAGCTAATAAATTACTGTGGACACTAGACTTTGCACCATGGAAGTTACCAAATCGAGGTCTGTGGACAGAATGGGCTCCTGTCTACCAGTAACAGCTCGTTGACGCACAGTAACGAAATTTCCAACACTGATTGGTTGAGAGAGCCATAATTCTTGACATTCTGGGATATGTTCCGATCATACGCGCCATAACATGTCTGTCACGTTTTGCAGCGTCAGGTTTTCCTTAACTAAATATGACGTACCCTGAATTTGAAAAGCGTTTCGGGGACCTCGCACATAGACAAGGAACCCGTATAAATAAAACAGTATAAATACGACTGGAGAACGCCCAACACCATATGCCAGATATCGCCGTACATCCGTCGACTCGCATCGCCAACAGCATGAAGTACATTGCAGTCGTTCTTGCCTTGGCCATTTGCGTCTGTGACGGTAAGATTGTCTCTATTCATAGTTAGTGCTAGCTAAAATAGTTTGGATATAGATTATTACAGAAAGAACCTTCAACCGTCTTTATAGCTTTAGTTATTCCGACTCGTACAACACTGACGTGAAAACAGTTGTCGCATAGAGGAGTTTTGTCACTCTTGTCTAAAATTGAAACCATTTGGAATGGAGAGGAAGACAAACTCTGGAGGATGGACATTGCTAGTGTGGCGTTAAACAACAAACAAAGTATAGCTTGTAACTCTGAATTAAGTCGTTTAACTCAGGTATTACAGTGAGTGAGTGAGTTGGGTTTAACGCCGCTTTTAGAAATATACAAGCGAAATCACGGCGGGGGACAACGGAAATGGGCTTCACACATTGTACTCATATGAGGGATGGAACCGAGCCTACGGAGTGACGAGTTAACGCTTTAACCACACCAGCCCCTCAGATATAAGAGTGAGTGAGTGAGTGTATTTTACGCCGCACTCAGCAATTCTCCAGCTATATAGCGGCGATCTCTAAAAAAACGAGTCTGGATCAGACAATCCAGTGATCAATCGATCTGCCCAATTGGGAACCGATGGCATGTGTCAACCAAGTCACCGAGCCTGATCACCCGATCCCGTTAGTCGCCTCTTACGACAAGGATGGGTTACTGAAGATCAATATTCTAACCCGGACCTTCACGGGTACACAGATATAAGAAGTATCGGATGCACATGAAGGCATTTAATCCACTAGCTCTGATTTCCATTTCTTTATAGGAAGAATAATGTGGTATAAGCCGCGTCTTAAGTAGCGATAGGATCGCTTTTTTTGGTTTTTGGTAAGCAGAGACTTTATCATATACTCCTTTCTATATGCCTGGGAGTTGTGATAGTCTCTTTTTGCAGATTGCTTGCTGAAACAGGATAATGACTCAACGTCAGTATGAGATAAATATGTCCAAAAATCGTAATGTCCATTATCTACCATATTATAGTTTTATTCTAAAAAGACATTAGTTCAACGAGGAAGGATACAAATCACCATATACTCACATACAAAAGAAAGTGCACATCTGGGGCTTCGAGATTTATATTCCAAAACAAAATTTTGTGTCTTGATTGTGATTTACAAGTACCCTACGTGTTGCCAAACCACCACAGATATCGTAGCCAAATACAACGTTGACTGCGCATAACGTTCACAGCTCAACGTTGACGATTCAGTCGATGATGACGTGTTCATGACGTGAAGGAAATAGTCGACAGGTCCGGTTGCCCACAGCACGCAGTCATCTCATCACTGCGTTCACGCTACTGTGGTGATCCAACACTGTTGATGTTGATGACGTCACTGTGAGCATCCGGCTGCGCAGATGGAAAATGCGCAGGAAATGGTCATCTTCCGGGGTGGTCACTCTCGGTCTGGCACTTCTGGTTACACACCATCGAATGTTTTCCAATAGACTTCTATAGTAACCTTATATTTTTTTAAAAATATCCAGGCTATCAACAGCCATTCCATGTACACATGGGTACACTCTGCCCTTTAAACTACCCTAAAACAAAATATCAGGCCAACTTGTCCGGCTCGTTTTGCGAGCACAGGAAGCGGAACACATCAACCCCAGTTCCGCACCAAATGTCACCTACTGCAAAATATCTGTACATACAATATGCATAAGTGATGATGATAAAAATGACAGCACTAAATACTTAAAATTGTGGTCAGTTTTAATTACTGGTTAGATGTGCTTTGAAAAAACAAACATCTTACACTATTTCATCCAATCACATCTGTCACATGTCTCTGTCTCTCTTCACTTGTTTACATAAGGCTCTCGCGCAGGGAGCATGTGATACTGATTTAGTGTAGTGGAACCTGGGTGTGTTTGCTAGGTACATTTTAACCCGATTTCACGAGAGTTTCAACAGTTATTTAATGAACTTTGTATTTTTAACAAATATTCCCAAAACACCGGGTGTGTACTTTCTTTTGTACATCAGTTTAGCTATACAGAGACGTTTGTTCTAAATGAGTAATATATTTATTGTCATGCGGATAGAGCGTTTGCCGGGATAGCGGATAGTACGATAGCATTAATAGGAGGTACTTGGGGTTTACCTGCCGGACGCTAGAAGCTAGGGTTAAAGGCCGATGTGTCTGATTAGTGTATAGGGTACCCATGTTAAAACTGCAGCATGGTTTCTCAGTGGCTCAAAAGGGGCGGTGGGGTAGCCTAGTGGTTAAAGCGTTGGCTCGTCACGCCGAAGACCCGGGTTCGAAGCCCCACATGGGTAAAATGTGTGAAGCCCATTTCTGGTGTCCCCCGCCGTGATGTTGCTGGAATATTGCTAAAAGCGGCGTAAAACCAAACTCAGTCAGTCAGTGGCTCAATACAGAAACAATAGGCGTTTGTGAAGAAGATTCTATACAGCCACAGACACGTGCAGTAAACTTGAATGCGACATTACACCCGTTTCATACATGTACCCTTGAAAATCCGCTAGAATTGATTTTCATCAACCTATGCTTGTCTCCTCCTTGAACATCCGTGACAAAAAACCCAAGCAACCAACGTAAGGAAACTAACAAAATTCACCTCAATCCAGCGTGTCTTTTATTTCCCGTGATGCATTGCAGCCACGTCCAACAGCTGGGACAGGTATGAGGCAGCCATACGTCTTTTGGCAAACAACACGTTGTTCCGGCCGATGGTGGAGTCGCACATGAAGGCGTACCGGGAGGCGGAGAGAACAAGTCCGGTGAGTGAGTGAGTGTGTGTGTGTGTGTGTGTGAGTGAGTGAGTGAGTGAATGAGTGAGTGAGATGGCTTTACGCTGATCTGGTGCTATAGAATGAGTAGTGTGGAGTTGTCAATAAGACCCAACCACAATATCATCTGTCGGCCTCTAAGGACCTTCTCTGTGTTGCAGCTTCGAAGCTTGGATCAAGCTGGCAGGAACTTTGGATGCCCTGGGGGAACATCTCCAAGTGTACCAACATCAGGTAAACTAGACGAGGACAGTATGCAGAGTGGGTACGGTGCGTTGGAGTAAGAATGTATGGCAGGGACTAGGCGCTGGTGGTCAAAGTTTAGAGTTGCATTGGGTGTGGGTAACCATGGTCATAGTGTAGATGTGGATGACGAGGGTCACAGTGTGGGGGTGGGTGACGAGGGTCTCAGTGTGGGGGTGGGTGACGAGGGTCACAGTGGAGAGGAAGGTGACGAGGGTCACAGTGTGGGGTGGGTGACGAGGGTCATAGTGTGGGGTGGGTGACGAGGGTAATAGTGTGGGGTGGGTGACGGTCATAGGGTAAGGGTAACAGTGTGGGGTGGGTGACGAGGGTCATAATGTGGAGGTGGGTGACGAGGGTAACAGTGCAGGAATGGGTAGGATGTGGGTTACAGACACAGTTACCATGGTCATAGTGTAGAGGTGGGTGACGAGGGTCATAGCGTGGGTCGGGTGACGAGGGTCATAGTGTGGGGTGGGTGACGAGGGTCACAGTGTAGAGGTGGGTGACGAGGGACACATTAAAATATTGTAGAGTTGGTGTCCAGGGTCACAGTGCAGAGGTGGGTGACGAGGGTTACAGTGTGAGAGGTGGGTGACGAGGGTCACAGTGTAGAGAGGGGGTGACGAGGGTGGGTGACAGTGTAGAGTGGAGGTGGGTGACGAGGGTCACAGTGTAGAGGTGGGTGACGAGGGGGGTCACAGTGTAGAGATGGGTGACGAGTGTCACAGTGTGGGTGACGAGGGTCACAGTGTAGAGTGGGTGACGAGGGTCACAGTGTAGAGGTGGGTGACGAGGGTCACAGTGTAGAGGATGGATGACGAGGGTCACAGTGTAGAGGTGGGTGACGAGGGTCACAGTGTAGAGGTGGGTGACGAGGGTCACAGTGTAGAGGGGGTGACGAGGGTTACAGTGTAGAGGTGGGTGACGAGGGTCACAGTGTAGAGGTGGGTGACGAGGGTCACAGTGTAGAGGTGGGTGACGAGGGTTACAGTGTAGAGGTGGGTGAAGAGGGTGACGAGTCAGAGGAGTGTAGACGTGGGTAACAGACGAGGGTTACAGTGTAGAGGTGGGTGACGAGGGTTACAGTGTAGAGGTGGGTGACGAGGGTTACAGTGTAGAGGTGGGTGACGAGGTTACAGTGTAGAGGTGGGTGACGAGGGTCACAGTGTAGAGGTGGGTGACGAGGGTTACAGAGGTGGGTGACGAGGTTACAGTGTAGACAGTGGGGTGACGAGGTTACAGGTGACGAGGGTCACAGTGTAGAGGTGGGTGACGACAGAGGTTACAGTGTAGAGGTGGGTGACGAGAGGTGACAGTGTACAGGTGGGTGGGTGACGAGGGTCACAGTGTAGAGGGTACGAGATGGTGTGACGAGGGTCACAGTGTAGAGGTGGGTGACGAGGGTTACAAAATATTAGAGGTGGGTGACGAGGGTCACAGTGTGGGGTGGGTGACGAGGGTCATAGTGTAGGAGGTGGGTGACGAGGGTTACAGTGTAGAGGTGGGTGACGAGGGTTTACAGTGTAGAGGTTGGTGACGAGGGTCCTGTGCAGTGCAGAGGTGGGTGACGAGGGTCACAGTGTAGAGGTGGGTGACAGGGTGGGTGACGAGGGTCACAGTGTAGAGGTGGGTGACGAGGGTTACAGTGTGGAGGTGGGTGATGAGGGTGACAAGGGTGAGTGTGGGTGACGAGGGTTACAGTGCAGACGAGGGTCACAGTGTTGAGGTGGGTGACGAGGGTCACAGTGTAGAGGTGGGTGACGAGGGTTACAGTGCAGAGGTGGGTGACGAGGGTCACAGTGTAGAGGGGACGTGGCTTACAGAGAGGTGACACAGGGTTACAGTGGTTGACGAGGGTTACAGTGTGGAGGTGGGTGACGAGGGTTACAGTGTAGAGTGGGTGACGAGGGTCACAGAGTGTGTGAGAGTGGGTGACAGTGTAGAGGTGGGGACGAGTTATAGTGTAGAGGTTTGTGACGAGGGTCACAGTGTAGAGGTGGGTGACGAGGGTTACAGTGTAGAGGTGTGTGACGAGGGTTACAGTGTTGACGAGGTTGACAAGGGTGACAATGGTCAGTTGGGTGACGAGTGAGCAGTGTACCGGATGACAATGGTGATAGCATTGGGGAGGGGGTTGAGGGGAGCGCTGGGGAAGATAAGGGTCACAGTGTTTTGCTTCGGCAGTAAAATCTTGGGAGGGTTGATAGTGTTGATGGTGATGATTGCTTGCATGGTACAATTGGGTCCTTTTGGAGCACGTAGACATGTGGGGACTTAATTGTGTTTGAGGATGAACATTATTCATGAATATTCATGAAGAGGATTCTTATACTCGTGCCGTTGTAGATACAGTCTAATCGTTAACACATTCTTTTTTTGTGAATCAGTTACTTAGCGTAAACCATATTTTAAAAACAGTTATTTTTTTTATAAGTGCACGCGCTGAGAGCTGGTGACATAAAGGTCGTCGCAGCTTTGGGTGATTCTCTCACAGTAAGTACCCATCAGAGCCACTTAGCCGGAAGTAACGAAAGAGCTACTTCCCTTGTTGGATCCTCGTTCTGCCGCATACCATACGAATCGGCGAATAACACATTTCTAGAAATGACATCCCTGGAAAACACATTATCAAAGCTAATCTAACTTGTTCATGAAAATTACACGTGTAGTTTCAACATGATTCTGGTCTCTTATCACATTTCTGATCACATGTTCCAGGCAGCCAATGGCGCGGACGCCTGGACCATTCTGGGTTGTCTCACAGAATACAGAGGCACGTCCTGGAGGTATGAATTATTACAACAATAACTATAGCGATATATAAAGATAAAGTACCGATAATGTTAAGAAACAAACTAACTTAAAGCTGCCATCGGTTTTCGCTGGATGTTCTATTAGAGTGTGTTGTTGGTGAAATCAAATAACTGGCTCCTCTCCAGAAATAAATGCCATTAAAGAATCTTCTAAAACACCCGTCCTCTTTTGCAAAAACATACACACAGTAAACTTCGGTTATAACGAACTCGAAGGGAACAATAATTTAGTTCGTTATAACGGTAGTTCGATAAAGGCAGATCCACTGAAAGTAAAAATGATAGCTACAAGCAAGATATCGAGTTATCAGAGTTCGACACAACGGTGCCCGACTGTATTCTTTATATCGCCAGTTCGTTATTAGCATGTTCGGCATAAACGTAGTTTGCTGTAACATCAACATTTTTATTTCCAGTATTGGTGGCGACAGGAGCATTACAAGTGATGGTATAACTGTTGCAAGTAAGTCACTCTGTTTGAACTTGTTGACAGTCAAAACTGACACTTCAGTTTTAGTCTGTTAGACAATAGCGCTTCCACTTCCTTCCATGGGATGAGTGGTGTGCGCTTTTTTGAGAGCGAGAATCTTCCTCACTTGAACAAGTGAACATTCCACCATTGAATGCATACTTCTTTCTGTCCGTGAAATCTGCGTTCGTGAGTGAGTGTGGTTTTACCACGTTTTAAGCAATACATAACTACCATCCTGCAGGCACAGCAGAAATAAACTTCCTACATTGTACCTATGTGTGGGATCACATCCGAACTTTTGAACGGTCCAACCATCTAACCGACTGCGCCATAGCCTAATCAGTAGAGTGGTAAACACATGAAGAAATGTCAAACCACAGGACTATTTTCATTGGCTATGCTGTCTTTTTGTGACAGGTGTACCAAGAACCCCGACGCCATTTCCCGCTCGATATCAAACCGGTGGAAACATATAAATTCACTGGCAGGAAAGAGATAGTTGGCTCTTGAAGTATTTTTGATAATTAGAAAAACCATTAAAAATCAGAACCTTACGTGGCTGAAATCAGACGAAAAAATTTCAAATTTCTGTTTTACAGGTGTATATGTCAAACATATGTTTTTTAACATTCATGCTCTACATGTCTGTTATATTTATTTCGTCAGATATATTGCGCTATTTCAACCCAAACGTGTACGGCTTCTCCAACGGCCAAGGTGACCGAGACTCTGCCAACAAGCGATTCAACGTAGCTAAATCGGGCGACAAGAGCATGTGCGTGGTAACATTAAAGATAATCATCGAACGTTATTTATGATCGCTGCTTAATCGAAAAAGGAGCTTCTTTTCATGTCAATGTCATGCTATCCTACTTGTAGTGCTTAGTAAAAAACCACAGGCGTCACTGGTGAATTCATGGAACCCAAGGTACTGCGCGAGATAACAATCTTAAGACGCCATTGTATACAACCAATCCCCTTATTAGTTATACTAATGCCGTGTCCCCACAGGCACATGCCAGAGCAGGCTGATTTGTTGGTGCAGAGGCTCAGAAACGACCCCAACATCAACTTCCAGAACGACTGGAAACTCATCACCATCTTCATCGGGGGGAACGACCTGTGTCAGTTCTGTGCAGATGAGGTAAGAAGTTGGCAGATAGAATGATGATCGCACAGTCAGCCATTTTGGATTCCGGGTTCGAACCTGTCGTTAGCACTGTGGTCAAGCCCGGTGAAGGGCTCACTGTGTGTAATTGTAGCCCGATGATGTGAGATAGTGTTCATAATATCAACCATTCGTTTGTTTCAATCTCAGCTATCAGTCCGAAAGCTGATGATTATTCACACACTACACAAATGCAATGTCTCCGTCATCCTCGATAATCTCCAGGGTATACCTTACGATCACTCTCCACTATACCCTCGATGCATCCACGGCTTGGCCCGAACATTTTATTACCTCCCTTTGCTGGCTCCGCATTCTCACAGTAGCCAATCAGCAAAGCCGCTGTTACACCCGAGCTTGCCAGTGTCAAAAAAGATAGCGGTCACAGTCGCGAAGGTTTGTTCGCAGTGTCACTCAGAATTTGGGGCAAATAATACAGACAAATTGACAGATCTGAAACTTTAAAAAATAAATAAAGAACTCCTTCTACCTCTTTCAGAGTACCTGTGCATCAATTGTGTTGCCAAGTTTAAACGGTTAGATAAATTAAGAAGCGAAAGTGAGTTGAGATTGGTTCGCTCAACGTCCCAGCGTAGACACCTGATTGGATAAATAGCCAGCCAAGGGAGGTAATAAAATTTTCGGGCCAAGCCGTGATGCATCCAGGGTATAGTGGAGAGTGATCGTAACGTATACCCTGGAGATTATCGAGGATGTGTCCCCGTCTGATACTTGTTCACTTACCTCTAAAGATCCGGGTTAGAACTGGCCTTGCTTGACGCAACTCTTGCTCCGCGCAAAAGGCGGCTAACTGGTCGTTGTGGTTAGAGTTGGCAGATGGAAGTCATCGTACCCCAATTGGGTTGATTGATGTTCGTGATGTCAGTCATTAGATTGTTTGGTTCAGATCCAATTAGTTACAAACCACCCGGTGTCCCCCGCCGTGATATTGCTGGAATATTGCTAAAAGCAGCGTAAAACCATACTCACTCGCTCACTCACTCACTACAGACCACCCTCATATAGCTTGGGCATAGCTGAATAGGCCTTAAACACCTAGTAAACGTGTTCTTAAATTTGAACCCAATCAAATGTGGACTTGAAGTCGATAACCAATATCTAGACCTGCCTATCGATACAGATAATAGTGATCGATAATATATCAATATAGAACGATTATAGGTAAATGTATGAAAAGTAACTTTTGAGCAAAAAAGCCGAAAAATGTACTGAAATAAATAAATAATATTATATTTCCCACGACAGGTGAGGGATGATATGTTTATGCATGGATTACTAACAAAACGTCCTGAACATAATTTAGAAACAGCTCAACTTTATGTTTTGTTCGCGTAAATTCAACTTTATTCTATCACAAAAATGTTAGTCCGATAGTTTCCATGCCCCTATTTCATATCGATAATCATTAATAATCTTTCTATCCAGCCCTACCCAAATCCCCATTCTTCCATACACGTTCCCTTCTCAGAGACTAATATCTGGCAGTATTTGCGCTGGGTGACCTTTTAATGTATATGGACATATGATCTTCACATGATAATAAAACTAAACATGACCACAGGTACACAAACGGGCTTAGTGACGTATTATATATCTTCTATAGCCCGGGGGCCGGTGGGGTAGCCAAGTTGTTAAAGCGTTCTCTCGTCACGCCGAAGATCCGGGTTCGATTCCTGACATGAGTACAATTTGTGAAGCCCATTTCTGGTGTCCCCGCCGTGATGTTGCTGGAAGATTGCTAAAACTAAACTTACTCACTCACTCACTCATTCCACAGCCGGACCACACCGCTGTGATGTACGCCAGCCGTATCGAGCAGGCATTACAGATCCTCTACGACAACGTCCCCCGCGCCCTCGTGCAGGTCGTCAACATCTTCGACATCGGTCCTCTTACAGAAATGGGTGGCTTCATTTGCTCCACTGTTCACGTGTAAGTCAATATTTGTTCACTAATTACTCTGTTTACGAATGGGTCCACGCTGGAACATTAACCTGTGTTTGTCGTATGAGGCGACTAAACGGTTACTATGGTGACTTGGTGATTGCATGGCATCGTGCCAAAACTGTCTGGTTTGTCTGGGTAAAGATTTGCTCACTGAAAGGCCTCTTCTATACAGGACATTTCGCGAGACCTTAGTACTTCCGGTGACAAACAACGTTTCATACCTTTTCAAATGGTCTCATGGTTGTCAGTTGACAGTACGGAGCCGATAATCCTTGCAGGGATAACACATTTCCGATCCAACTATCCCCAAATTAGCCAACTATTACGACTTTTAACATCTGTGACAGCTAAGAATGGTTGCACACTTGGTACGGTCTAGTAAAGTCATATTTGGCGATTGCGCAATTTGGAACAAGAACTGGTTCTTGAACATTAACGTGTCACAGGAAATCTGGTACCGGAAGAAAACTGGGCCCCGTCTCTTATATCGCAAATTGGCGCGCGCAAAGGGAGCCGGGATCCTGCCTTGTTTCGGAAGTAGACAATGAATATAAGATGTTGTCATTTATACAAAAGTATCTTCTCAATGCCTATCATTGATTTTACTGTAGTGGTTGGGGTCTGAGACCTATGTCAGTTCAGGATTCCCTCTCATTACGTGACACACTCGGTGTGGTGGCCGGGTACGTTTTGACGTTATATCTTTTCCGTTTCATAAACCAGTGTATTTATAACGTTATTTCCCCAGCACGCGAGCGTGTTTTAGTGAACTGAGGTACAAAAAGCAGGAATTTGTCAGCTGAACGAATGTTTCACGGAGGTGGATACACTACTGTAAGAGTTTGAAGCTATGGAGGGGAGATCTTGTAGACTGATTGGTAGGCGAGACTTTAAATTGCATGTTTTCATGGAATTGTAGCCAATGAAGTGATATGCGTACGGCCTTTACGGTAACCTTCATACAAGCTTGCTTCAAGCGAAGGCTGGCTATCGATACAGATAATAGAGATCCATAATCGTTAACTAATCATCGATTGATTATCGATAAATGTAACGTAACTTTGAGCAAAACTGCCAAAAATGTCTGAAAGAAATGGACATATTTCACATCGAAATACCCTGAAACAGCGTCTTGAACATAATTTAGAAGCAGGCCATGAATCAAGTCGTATATTGGTATATTGTGTGAGAAAAAAATAAGTTGTTTTCTATCGACGATATTTTCGATTATCGATGATTTTAGTCAGCCCTATTTAATTGTATTCTTTTATGGACATGTATCCAATGAAGTTAGTTGAGTACATTCTTTAATGCGAGCTTGCTTCATGCTACACGTTTACCGTTTTGCCATCCCCAGATACGCCTGTGACTGTCTACTAAACCAGGCAGGACGGGACAAGGCGAGTATACTGACCCTTGACTACCAGCGAGAGACCGAGAAAGTTGTCAGCAGTTCAAAGTTCCACAATCACGAAGACTTCACTGTTGTGCTGCAGCCCTTCCTGGAGGATGCTGACCCACCAAGAAAGGTCAGGGTCATTCAGTGTGTCACGTGAGACAAAATGACTGCCACGTTGGCTGCGTTGACTTCATCTATTGCCTTCGTATATATCATCAAATAGGTACCCCTAGACCGATCGGTGTTAATAAATTGCAAAAAAGGTCGAAAATGAGTATACACCTTACGCAAAGTAACATGGGCAGGCTTATTCAAGCTTTATAGAATGCAGCCATATTACTGGAATATGCTTAATTCGACGTTAAACAATAATAATACAGTGTATATGTAGAGCTTAGACTCCATTACTGCATGTTCAAAACGCTATAGATTTGTTATAATCTGATTATTATTACCCCGGATAACCCAAGCTACCTTTGAGGCGCTAGAAGGTTATAGTCACATGACTTATCCCACCGGGTACCCATTTTTCTGCTGGGTGAACAGAGGCAGTTTTCAACAAACAAACATACTTGCCTAAGGCGACACCATATGTATCACGTGTGTTTCGTTGTGGGGCAGGACCGATGTCCTAGAAACAACAAACAAACACAAACAACATTCAAGCAGAGGGCATAGTTGATGGTTAATGCCAGTGTACTGAAATTCATCAAAGTTGACGTGGTATGCTTGAATTCTGACACATTATGATCTGTCTGTGGTACACTATCATATGATCTAATATCTATCACTGGTGTACGTATCACAATGGTGTATTTAGTAAAACTGGGTGAATTCAAATTTCATAAAAGGAAGAATGTTTTTCTCCCAAAATACAATTAAATGTTTAATATTCATGTTATTTGCAATTGACAGCAACTATGACATATGTCTTTAATTGAGGTGATTGTCCTCCAAACATGAAATGAACTAAAATGAATTCGTGCCTTTTCCGTCAGTGCTGTACATAACATAAATTGTCCTTCAATAGTCAACCAGAAACGAGTATATTCGTTCTCGGTGAGATGATGGTTATCTAACCTTATTCCTTGCTTTGCAGTCGGACGGAAACTTGGACACCGCGTTCTTCGCCCCTGACTGCTTCCACTTCAGCCGGATGGGACACCAGATGGTGGCCAAGAACCTGTGGAACGCCATGGTCAGTATCACACTTTGTCTCGCGTGATATAGGGGCAGTGGGGTAGCCTAGTGGTTAAAGCGTTCGCTTGTCACGCCGTAGACCCTGGTTCGATTCCCAACATGGGTACAATGTGTGAAGCGCATTTCTGGTGACCCCCGCCGTGATATTGTTGAAATATTGCTAAAAGCGGCGTAAAACCATTCTCACTCACGCACTCTCGTGAAATAATTTACATTTAAGGGCACTAATGGCTTTGTCGCATGAGGCACCGCACGTCGCTGTGCAGAGTTGCCTCCCATTTTTGGTTCGATTCCCCGTTGGACCTGAGTATGTTTCCTAGGTTTGAAAGCACCATATCCGGTCTAATAGTGTTTTGTTGTTAGAAACAACGGGGTCGGGTGGTCAGGCTCGCTGACTGTTAATCACTGGATTGTGTGGTCCAGACTCGATTATTTACAGACCGCCACCATGTAGCTGGAATATTGCTGAGTGCGACGCTAAAAGAGGAAACAAATAAAACAAATGTTGAGTTCACTTGACTGGTGAACGTCTAACAAAAGAATGATAATTCTCGCAAATAATAACTGACGTGCACGCAGTAATACAGACGGATTACTGTTCAAAAATAGGACCAACGCAACTCACTCACTCTCTCACTCTCGTGACCGTGGTTCCATTGTCACTTTCTGTAAAAGTCTTTATTTGAATTATTTGTTATGCATTACTCTTTGATTGTAGTATGCAATGAATAACTCCACCGATACAAATATGTTGGTGGGTAGCCTAATGGTTGTAGTGTTCTCTCTTCACGCCGAAGACCCGGGTTCGATTCCCTACATGTGTACATTGTGTACTATACATTTGGTAGTCCAATTTGATATTGCCGGAATATTGTTAAAAGCACCTTAAAGCCATAATTACTCAACCCGTTTACAAACACGTGACCCGTGAAGATCCAGATAAGAACTGGTTCTTAGCAGCCCATGCTAGTTGTAAAAGGCTAATAACGGGATCGGGTGGTCAGGCTCGCTGACTTGGGTGACACATGTCATCATATCCCAGTTGCATACATCGATGCTCATGATGTTGATCACTGGATTGTCTGGTCCAGACTCGATTATTTACAGACCGCCACCATATAGCTGGAATATTGCTGAGTGCGCTGTTAAACAACAAACAATATACAATCACAGACTGGTGATGAGGTCACGACATATAAACAGGTATTGACCGAATTCACCAGTTCATAATTGTTATATTATGTAATTACCGAAAAAAAGCCTCTAAAAACCAAAACATGTCCATTTAGTCAAGAAAAGTAATTTTATTTTCGCTACAAACCAATAACGTTATGTCAACAGTACTGGAACATGTAAACAATAGAATTTAGTAACTCAAGTCAATATGACTTTTGGTCGGACCTGGGTTGGTGTCAAAATGCTTTTCTGTCGACGGTCACGTGACCGCCTTTAGACCAATCAGGTAGCCAGAAAAATATGCTTACATAATAAACAAAATAAGTGATCTGTTGCAGTTTCAGCCGGTGGGTATGAAGGATCGAGACTGGGACATGAACGTCCCCATATACTGCCCAAAGGAGGTAAGAACACGTTAGCTTATACATGTGACGACCAGATATAACGGAATTCATGATGGTTTTCAGTAACTTTTTAAGATTAGATAAACATATATACTTGTAAAAAAACTTCATTTTGAATTTCCATTTGAAAACAGTGGGAGATATATCGGAGTCAATCAATGTTGATATGATAAGAATGAATGTATTGAGAGTACATCACCTCTTGCACTTCCTTTTGACCATAGTTGTGTGTACACCAATCGCTCTTTAAAGATGATTGGTGTATGGCGTGAAATTTGCATGTGTACAATTTTCATATTAAAAAAGAGCAACAACAAACACACACACCCCCCACCCCCCCTACACACACACAAAAAAAAAGACCCGCTTCAAACAAACACTAACAACTGTGTGATGCAATATGATTGTCAAAATTATTGATCTACAGTGATTCATCGACCTTCTTGAAAACCGTCAAAATCAAGAATGACACCCCATGCACGTGTATGGGGCTACTGCATTGTCCACGCGCATCCAATGCGTTGTGTTTTGGGTGGTGATAAAGAGAAATGGCGGGGCGTTCATAACATGTCTGTTTTTGGAAAGTTTGTTAACGCTATACTTCCTATCCAAGTTGAAAGTTCAGGTTTCTGTACTCTTTTTTGAAGAGTTTATATAAAACTGTCATGAAAACAATCTTTAATGGGAAAGGTGTAACATCAATATTATATATGAAACGTATTTTAAAAGTCAACCGTTGACAAGAATGTCAGGGATTCAACTGCACCAAAATAAGAATTTGTTAAGCACTCACTTTGCTGAGATATATGTGAGGTGAGGTGAGGTGAGGTGAGGTGAGGTGAAATTTGGTTTATCGTCGTGCTTGAGAATATTTCGCTCATATGACGACGTGCATGCGTGTCTATGTGTATGTGCGGCTGCTTGTACTAGCCCAGACGTAAGCTGGTTTTATAGTTCTAGACCACTGAGATATCATGCCGCAGTGATGCATGAATACCCCACTCAGACACATTATACTGACTCCGAGCCGACCAGTCCTTGTTGTACCCATTAATGCCGAGCGCCAGGCAGGGACCAACAAGTACCATATTTTAACGTCTTTTGGTATGACGCGGTCGGGGACCTTCCACTCTCCAGGCGGACGTTCTAACCACTACACCACGGAGGCGGTTCTAAGATATATGTGTCTTTGCTAAGATATATGTGTCTTTGCTAAGATATATGTCTTTTTCCATTTGAAATGAAATCAGACTTATAGAGAAATCTTTTGAAAGCTCGTGATTTCACATTAGTTATGGAAGCACATGTAACGCCTGTATAGGTCAAATTAGAAAATGATGAAACGCATATTTGTTTTCAGAATGAGTTTATAGCAACCGAGAAGAACAGCCGGCGGTAATGGAGAACGTAGAGTCCTGTCAGCAATAAATGCCAACAATAAATCCTTATGAGACTTAAATACTGTTTATGATTTGTCTATTTGTTTTCATAAATGTTTCGTTGTTCACAAATATAACTGGGCGTAGACCTATTCACGCTCCGGTCTTATATCAGGTGACACAATGTTGTAGCGGAGTGTAGGTGGATGGGTAACCGTGCTGGGCCTGCGAGGTGCTTCCGTCCGCCCCAGCAGTATAACACAAGTCACGAGTGAGTGAGTGAGTGAGTGAGCGAGTTTAACTCCGATGTAAATAGCTTTTCATTACTATCACGGCTTGACAGCTTCACGTAAGAGGCAGCCTGAACTGACAGAGGTCTCAGACCTCAACCACCACAGTAAAATCAATGAGTGTGTGAGTGAGTAAGTATGGATTTCGGGAATATTCCAGCACTATCAGGGCGGGGGACACCAGAATTGGGCTTCACACACTGTACCCATGTGGGGAAGTGAACCCGGTTCTTCAGCGTGACGGGCGGACGCTTTATCCATTAGACTACCCCACCGCCCCCAGGGGTTACGGGGGTGCCCAGTCTGCTGAAGCACGTGACCTAATGCGAGGCTATGTTTACTTAGCAGGGAGTGAGTGAGAGAGTGAGTTTAGTTTTACGCCGCTTTTAGCAATATTCCAGCAATATCACGGCGGGGGACACCAGAAATGGACTTAACACATTGTGCCCATGTGGGGAATCGAACCCGGGTTTTCGGCGTGACGAGCGAACGCCTTAACCACTAGGCTACCCCACCGCCCCACTTATCAGGGAATGGGTACCCGGTTGGATAACTTGTAATGGAAATTCACAACTTTCTTTCGCCCAAATGACAGCGTATACGTTTGTGAAGTATACTATGTACTATTCACACTTTGCTAAGGATCAAATCATGGTTTCAGCAGAAAAGTATGATGTGGGGTCAAATTGGACTTAAATATCTAAGCTTATTGTAAGCATGGATACCAGGTTTCAGTGTGTCATTTCATCTGGTGGTTCCCATACCTACTATTGACAGGTGCTATGTACTTGTCAATGACTCGTTCCATGATTTGCAAAATGGTTGATTGGTGCCATGAAAACCATTTTATGGTTACTCATGTATCAAGCGCAAAAGGTTAGATTAAAGTGACCTTTTGCCTAAAGATGGGTTACCATATTATTATTTATCCAGTTTTAAATGGATACAATTTCAAATCATGAATCTACGATTAAGTAAAGTTGTGAAGTTTTGTGATCCTTAGCAAATTGTGAGTAGTATATAAGGACGGAACCTTTTAAGGCACACTATTAACTTTCTGCCATCATTCTCGTGTGGTGTTACATATCCGGGTGGGGTTGCAGGCCTTGAACTGCTCAGAGCAAGCAAAGTAATCCCTTATCCCCGGCTTGCAACAACGCTTGTCCACTTCTCAAGTGGAGAAAGAACCTGTTGATGATTTTGGGTTCAAGAATTCATTCCAAGGATTAACATACATTTTGAGTGAGGGTTTACAATGTCACATTGTAGTTACATCTCTGCGAGGAGATCCAGGAATGGGCCCGAATTCACTACACTGTATCCATGTAGGGAATCGAACCCAGGCGTTTGGATTGATTAACAAACGTCTTCCCACAAGACTACCTCACTGCCCAGCATATACATTGTGAGCATGATATGACCTTGCATTAAATAATTAAATTAAATGCTCTTACTTAATGTCAATAATTTCAAATACAAAATGTATGTACTTCGTGAGAATTGTGGCGGAGGGGTAGCCTATTGGTTAAAGCGTTCGCTCGACACGCCGAAGAATTGGGTTCGATTCTCCACATGGGTACAGTGAAACCAAACTCACTCACTTACTCGTGCACTCACTGAATTGCGGGTTCGAATTGGTTTCCAGTAAAGAACGTTTGTTATAAGAGGCGAGTAGATTTGATCTAACAGTCAGGCTGCGTAACTAGGTTGTGTGTGAATAATTGTTCCCCAAGGTATGATCATGCGTTCAGTCACAGTAGATTCAAACACGAGATTCAAAAATATTTATTTGCAAACATAATAATACATTTCGATGTTTAATAAACATTATATCAGTGCACAATGGAGTTGACCTTATGTAAAAGACAAAGTAAACAGGCCAAACGGTGTAAAACAGTCCCTTGTGGCGATAGAGAGACATGTGGAGAAACCTGATACGTGTGTTATACTGAACAACACATCAAATGATTCTCTTCTCCCCGTAAAAGAAAAGTCACAAAATGATATATTATTAGCTCTGAATCCCAGAGGCTATCACTCAAAAGTTCAATTCCAGGAACAGTTAAACACTGTTGTGTCGAAGTTGAATCGACCTCTGTAAATACTTCGAGTTATCCGATGTTTCGACACAACCACAAAATAGTGACTAAATGAGAATATGCAGGGATCACGCTAAAGGTCGTCATCGTATGTTCGGCATATAAATATTCGACATAACGGTGTTTGACTGTATTTACATGGACATGGATGAGATTCAGAGCGGCAGTTGGTCCAATGCTTGTCTTCAGGCCCTTAATGGATCAGTGGGTACCATGCTCGTCTCAAGAAGAGCTATCAGTTGGTCCCATGCTGGTCTTAAGGCCCTTAATGGATCAGTGGGTACCATGCTCGTCTCAAGAGGAGCTATCAGTTGGTCCCATGCTGGTCTTAAGGCCCTAAATGGATCAGTGGGTACCATGCTCGTCTCAAGAAGAGCTATCAGTTGGTCCCATGCTGGTCTTAAGGCCCTTAATCGATCAGTGGGTACCATGCTCGTCTCAAGAAGAGCTATCAGTTGGTCCCATGCTGGTCTTAAGGCCCTTAATGGATCAGTGGGTACCATGCTCGACTCAAGAGGAGCTATCAGTTGGTCCCATGCTCGTCTTATGAGATGCTTAATGGATCAGTTGGTTCTAAGCTCGTCTTAAGAGGTGCTTAATGGATCAGTTGGCTCCATGCACCTCTAAAGATGTGCTTAAGTTATCAGTTGGTTCTATGCTTGTCTTAAGAAGTGCTTAATTTATCAGTTGGGTTCTATGCTTGTCTTAAGAGGTGCTTAATGGATCAGTTGGTTCTAAGCTCGTCTTAAGAGGTGCTTAATGGATCAGTTGGCCCCATGCACCTCTAAAGATGTGCTTAAGTTATCAGTTGGTTCTATGCTTGTCTTAAGAGGTGCTTAATTTATCAGTTGGGTTCTATGCTTGTCTTAAGAGGTGCTTAATGGATCAGTTGGTTCTATGCTCGTCTTAAGAGGCGTATAATGGATCTGGGATCAGATTCCCTGACTTCGTTGAACGATGTCCTCGCATCCCGATTGCGTCATCAATGCTCATCATGTCAATCATATTTACAGCCTGCCCACATATTGGTGGAATAATGCTGAGTGTGGCAATAGACTACAAACACACAACGTACAACCATGTCATTATACGAGGAAGATGATTGTTATCATGCTTTGGAGAAGTAGAACAGATTGTGCCATATCTGAAATAGAAGAGGAGATTGAAAAGTTCCAGCACGGAACTAGTATAAATAAGTTTTGTCGTGAAAAGTAAATGTTTATAAAGCTGATATTAATATAAACATGTAACACATATTCAAACTTAGCATTATGTAATATTCAATTCCATATTATGTTTGACACTCCGCGCTTATTAATTCGATATTCTTATCGTGACACTTAAACATGTATTCATAATTACACCCAGTCATTTAAAATTATTCCATCAAGTTAGTACTTACTGCGACGATCGACCATAATATATTAAAGCAGTACACCGTGACACAACAAGAGATAAAACACATATTTGCCAAGCTCATTAAAATACGCATATACTACCTGAAGCGTTAAATATTCGTTGTGATGAAGAAACAGAGATACTATGCACTGTAATAGATCAGACAGGTGGCAATCGCGATCAGATATATACTAATGTGCAAAAGAAAGTATACACCCTTGATTGATGCTGACTAAATATGAAACAGGAAAATGATTTTGACAGTGATGTATTTAATGCGAGTGAAATAGAATTGTTTTTGACATTTTGGCAAGCTCTTGGAGACTCATTTTTCGGCTCAAGTTTCAATTTCTTCTCAGACTCGAAAGAGTTAATATACTTTGTTTTGCCCGGCAGGTGCGTATATTCTGTCCTTACAATGACGCTGTTGAAGAAAATGCTGACTGAAACGTTTACGGAATGAATATGGTCAATGTAATATGATGTTCATATTATCACCACGAGGATGAGGATGGAGATGTGGAATGTCAAATGTCAGGGCAAAATGGTCATTGTTATGATAGCAAAATGTGAATATTGAAAAGAGAATATCAAAATATAAAATGGAAACATTTTAAATAATAAGTAGAAATGGCAAAAGGTACAATGAAATGCAATATTACAGTACAGCAGATAAACCAGAGGTTGACAGAATGAGCAACATTCACAGACGTGCGGTCAGATCAACCATCATGACCAATATATATATAAACTCTCGTTTATCTCGTTTCAAGGCAAAATTGTTTTATTGCGGTATTTTCATGAAGTCTGGCGTGGCCTGAAGTCTTAGAATTAACGCCAAATGCTCAGACACGTTTTTCATATTCATGTTTCATGATAGCCCTCAATTATTGTGATAGACACAACCAATAGAATTGCCCCAGTCGGTGTGACAAGCGACTTGGTCCTCAGTCATGTTAATTACATTGTTAGACCTATTAACGCTTGTTGGCATATGTGAATGTTACTTAAGTATCCTTTCATTCATAACACTGAGTACGATACAATGTCAATCACTTGATTATCTGGTCCAACTCGATTATTTATAGACTGCTGTCATGCAGCTGGAATATTGCCGAGTTTGGCGTTAAACAACACACATACAAATAAACGTATTGAGAGCCGGTCTAAGATACAGATGATGCCCCGAACTGATATAAGTGACTGCATCTGAACATCCAGGAACACAAAACAAGTCCTACCTTTGATGCTGGACCCTTGTGATGAGCACGGGTGTGTGGACGGATGCCCCAAGCACGTGGCCACTGGGTCGTCTGGAATGACGTCACGTGTCAATACCTTTAACTTCGACAGTGGACAAGATGAACCGCACCCTGAAACGAAAGAGTGGAAATAGTAGGTTTATTTTATCGCTAAGCAACATTTAATAGGAGATAATTACGCGTCGCCGATATAACTTTTGCTGCTATGTAACCATCGGTATACGTCCCGTCAAACACCGTACAGTTATCCCCATTCTAATTCAACTCGTTTTACGCTGTTTTTTCGTGAAGGAAGTTCATTATTTAAACCAAGTCAAAGTGTTTCTAGGTCAAAGGTAAATAATATCACTCCCTGAACTTACACCATCGCCAGAAAAAGTAGTTCCCTTTGAAACTTCAACACGTTTATAACGTGCACACTGACTAACTCTAACACTGATGAATAAATTATAGTGTTATAGCTACAATGGACGGAATTATCATGAAACCGCCCTCAGAAATGAGCGGGCCGCTGCAAATGATAATGGCCAGGTGATTCCTCAACTACGAGCCACTATCTGTTCTGTTGTCAATGACGTCACAGCGGGTGACGTCACGCCCCATAATGCCGTCATAAATTTTGTTTCATGTCATGATAATTCCATGTATTTTAGCTATAATATACAAAAGTGTGTCGGCTGGTCTTAAATGTGTATCACCTTGTTGAAATCCGCGCATAATGTTAGGGTGCAGACAAACCTAGAAACGTGTATAGAAGGGGAATAAGTGGCTTCGTTATAACGCGGCATCGAGCAGTTTTTCGTCTATATCATGTCATTTCAGTTTTATGTGCGAGGAAGACCAAAGTTCTTAAACGTGGACACGTTGAAACCCAGAAGTATGGTTATGGTTAAAAAAAACCCTTGATTTTGTTTGTTTTCTTATTTAATATTGTAAATATTCGAGTCTGGACCAGACAATCCAGTGATTATAAATTAACAGCATGAAATCGATTAACACAAGGGTGACACGATGACATTTGTCAAGCAAGTCACAGAGAAAGACAATCCGATCCCGTTAGTCGTCTCTTACAAGTATGGGCTGTTGAAGATCCAGATCTTCACGGGTCTAGGCCAATTTGGAACACAATCGGGTTTCGAACCCACAATCTCCTATTTTGGTGAAACACAGGCTTAAAGCAATGGACCAGATGAGCCTAAAATTATATTGCGTGGTAGAGTGAGTGAGTGAGTTTTAGTTTTACGACATTTTTAGCAATATTCCAGCAATATCACGGCGGGGGACACCAGAAATGGGTTTCACACATTGTACCCATGTGGGGAATCGAACCCGGATCTTCGGCGTGACGAGCACACGATTTCACCACTAGGCTACCCCACCGCCCGAGTGAGTGAGTGAGCTTTAACTCTCTTTGAACATTATTCGATTTATGTTGACAGGACATAAACAGTGACGAAAAGAAGCATGCCTCTTCACCTCTTTGTTCAAACAAAGGAGCATGGCGTTGATAAACCTTGAAAAATAACTGGCAAAACACCATCACAGTTGTCTGCCGTGACTAAGGGAAGCAACTCTTCAGCGCCTTATCCATTCCCATCATATACTAGTATAACACCAGTGTACATACCTGGTACTGTCAGTAAGTACGGCAGCACAGTCGTGTCATTTCTGTAGTAGAACTCGACAGTGTACCCCTCCGTGTCGTAGTGATGGAGCTCCACAAGCACCGCTCCAGCATACATGATGTGGATTTGGTTGAACATCCCCATTGTCGACAACAGAGCGTTGATGTTGGTGTCGTGCTGGCAAACAAAAAAGTGTTGCCATGGTTATGGGTAAATGTATTATTAGCTATTATGTAACTTTTAGCTTATCACAGAAAGATCAAACTTAATGATAAATCCAATAGAATGCTAATATATATATTCTTTCTTCTGCTGACTCTCGACTGTCTTGTGCATTAGATTTTATCCTGAGTCTTTTCACCAAATATTTTTTTCTGAGAGATATAGTCAGCTATTTCATGAAAATGTGGGTTTTTTCAATCCTTATAGCAGGATGACAAACTGTCAAAAGAAAGTAGGGTTGGCTAAAATTATCGATAATAGGAAATATCGTTGATAGGAAATATAATTATTGATTACCAATATGAAAATTGTTTTATCTACATGTATACTATACTATATCAACGTCAGTGATAAAAAAATATGATTTTATCATACAATACACAAATTAAGGACTTTATTCTTGGTCTGCTTCTAAATTATGTTCATGACGTTGTTTTGTTAATAATCCAAGCAAAAACATACTCCAGCCCTCAAGTGATATTAATTTCGTTTTGACATTTTTTTGCTCAATGTTACGTCTTCGATATTTCTCGATAATCGATCGATATTCAGTTAACGATTATCGATCTCTATTTGGATATCTAGCCCTAGTGGCTGGGTTATTTTGTGTGGAAACCCCCCCCCCCAATAAGCTTACTGAAGACTGGAGTAAGGAATGGATTTGAAAGCGTACGACCTCAACCATCGAAGAAAGCAATTTTGTTAATTGTTAAAAAGAGTTGCCTGAGATACCAGTCATGAGTTGTGTGTTATGCACATTTAATTTAGTACCGATACGGTTTATTCTACTTTGGATTTATTACCGCAAAGTTAAGATAACTTAAAATAAATAGATAAAAAATGTGGTGATATGGTCAGAATGTAATTTACTTTCGTTACTACAGTCTGTTTGCAGTGAAAACGTACCGATGATTTTCGCTTTAAACAAGAAAGTAAATCGAATAAAGTGAAATTAAGATTGCGAATCCTCATAATTTTACCTTGCCAACTGAACATTTAAATATCATAATTTTATTAAACTTAGGATAAAAGTTGTTTGACAAACGATCATATTTTCAAATCGTTATTATTGGTTTGTAACACAAGGGGGGTATGCACATTAAATGAAACACCGAGAACAGGTAGGGGTGGCCTTAGCTTACGCTCATCACGTACCGCACGTGCATTTGTTTCAGTGTTTCAACTACTGCGCTTACCCCCCTTGTACTACAAACAAATAATAGCGATTTGAATCTATGATCGTTTGTTAAACAACTTTTATCCGAAGATGAATAAAATCTGAGATTCAAATGTTCAACTGGCAAGGTAAAATTATGAGGATTCGCAATCTTAATTTCACTTTATTTGATTTACTGTTTTGTTTAAAGTGAAATTCATCGGTTCGTTTTCACTGCCAACAGACTATTATTTACTGCTACGTCTCGTGGACCACATGATTCTGTCGTATATTCAACACACTTACGCCTGCGTAGAAGTCAATCTTTTGTGTGATGTTGTTAAAGTTGACAACGTCATCCATGTTCTGTATGAATTTCCCGAGCAGGGGACCTGAAAGAGTGAGTGAGTGAGCGGGTAAAGTGTTTGTGGTTTGGAAAGTGAGTACCTGAGAGAAAGAATGTCATTTTATTATTTAGCTATGCCGCATCGTGCAGAGTTTTTCGAACACATGCTCAGCGGATCCTGCTGCATTTAATGGAGGTAACCCTACAGCGAATTTTGCGCGAGATAATCTAGCTTGTATAACATCTGTGGTTGTGTCTACCTCCTCGTATCCTGGCCATGGCTTTATCGTGGAACTTGAGCTGAGCCTTCACGTCTTTGAGTGCCAGGAACCTCTTGTAAACGTCATTTTGTCGGAGCCACAGGGGAAACGTCAGGTTGTGGGCGTTCTGAAGCAGTACAACGTTGTGACATTACATCATATCACAGCACGGCAGCCTGATGTAGGGGAGAAGTCCAAAATAATGCAGGACTTGGATGTTTGCCACTGCGTAGATCAGTGCTCATTCTCTTGATCACTGGATTGTCTGGTCCAGACTCGATTATTTACAGACCGCCGCCATGCAGCTGGGATATTGCTGAGTGCGGCGTTAAACAACAACTAAACGAACAATTCATCTCTCTCTGTTGTACAACTCCTATCTCTTCTTGCTCACTTTCCCTCGTTCTCGCTCTGTTTGCCCCAATATACTGGGAAGCCCCCACGTTCTACTCACCTCAACATATATAGGGTCAACCATGTCCATCAAACTCTCAAAGGAGGGCGGATATCCCGAATAGTTTGCCAGGAGGTCCACCAGATCCTGACAAGATCGAGAATTCATAAAACAAAGCATTTCTAAATATGATCCTATTTAGGCTCTGGTCATGAGTGAGGTGAAACAACGCCGACGGCGAAGTGTAGGTGGATGGGTAACCAAGCTTCTGTCCTCCCCGGCAGTATAACACTTAGTTATGGGTGAGTGAGTGGCACTGAGTGAGTGAGTGAGTGAAACTGAGAGTGAAACCGAGTTAGTGAAACCGAGTGGTGAAACCGAGTGAATGAGTGAAACTGAGAGTGAAACCGAGTTAGTGAAACCGAGTGGTGAAACCGAGTGAATGAGCGAAACTGAGAGTGAAACCGAGTTAGTGAAACCGAGTGGTGAAACCGAGTGAATGAGTGAAACTGAGAGTGAAACCGAGTTAGTGAAACCGAGTGGTGAAACCGAGTGAATGAGTGAAACTGAGAGTGAAACCGAGTTAGTGAAACCGAGTGGTGAAACCGAGTGAATGAGCGAAACTGAGAGTGAAACCGAGTTAGTGAAACCGAGTGGTGAAACCGAGTGAATGAGCGAAACTGAGAGTGAAACCGAGTTAGTGAAACCGAGTGGTGAAACCGAGTGAGTGAAACCGAGTGAGCGAGTGAAACTGAGTGAGTGAGTGAAACTGAGAGTGAAACCGAGTGAATGTGTGAAACCGAGTGAATGAGTGAAACCGAGTAATGAAACCGAGTGAGTGAAACCGAGTGAATGAATGAAACCGAGAGTGTAACCGAGATAGTGAAACCGAGATAGTGAAACCGAGATAGTGAAACCGAGATAGTGAAACCGAGTGAGCGAGTGAAACTGAGTGAGTGAGTGAAACTGAGAGTGAAACCGAGTGAATGTGTGAAACCGAGTGAATGAGTGAAACCGAGTAATGAAACCGAGTGAGTGAAACCGAGTGAATGAATGAAACCGAGAGTGTAACCGAGTTAGTGAAACCGAGTGAGTGAAACCGAGTGAATGAATGAAACCGAGAGTGTAACCGAGTTAGTGAAACCGAGAGTGTAACCGAGTTAGTGAAACCGAGTGAGTGAAACCGAGTGAATGAATGAAACCGAGAGTGTAACCGAGTTAGTGAAACCGAGTGAGTGAAACCGAGTGAGTGTAACCGAGTGAGTGAAACCGAGTGAATGAATGAAACCGAGAGTGTAACCGAGTTAGTGAAACCGAGTGAGTGAAACCGAGTGAATGAATGAAACCGAGAGTGTAACCGAGTTAGTGAAACCGAGTGAGTGAAACCGAGTGAGTGAAACCGAGTGAATGAGTGAAACTGAGAGTGAAACCGAGTTAATGAAACCGAGTAGTGAAACCGAGTGAGTGAATGAAACCGAGTGAGTGATAAAGAGTAAGTGAGTAAAACCGAGTGGTGAAACCGAGTGAGTGAGTGAAACCGAGTGAGGAAGTGTAATTGATTACAATACTCCAGTCAACCTCATGCGAGATTGAAGCCGTGAATGATGCGGGTCTCAGACGTTGACCATCTTTGTCAATGAACTTGTACACTGTGTCATCCATGCTGACAAAGCTTCATTATTTCCAAACGATGGATTATTTTAAAAATACATTTCATCCGCTGCTCCCTGTGATGTATACGGTAACATAATGCCGGACTGGGTACACAGGCCTCACAATTACTTAAAAATGAAAAACTAAATACCTGATACTGTGCCTCAAGATGTTTCGCATAATCCGATTTCGAGAATTTATACTTCAAGGCATCATATGTCGGGCAATCCATTTCCAATATCTGAAGAGAAAATATATTCAAAAGTTATATTAAAATTGATCATTAAAGGTTTCGTTGATACGTTGGGGTAATGTGTAGAGAATCGAACAGATCTTTTCGGCTTGAGAAGACAACGATTTAGCCGCTAGGCCACTTCGTCTGTATAATGTCCAAGTATGTGGTTTTCAAAGGATGTTGATACCACGGGCGTGGGTAAATTACACACAGTGTAATCTGTTGCGTTACTGATCTCAGAACCAGTTGAGTGATGTGTGAGTTGGTTTGGGTTTACACTGCTTTTAGAAATATTCCTGCAATATCACGGCAGGGAACACCAGAAATGGTCTTTACACATTGTGCTCATGTGGGGAATCGAACCCGGGTCTTCGGCGTAACTAGCGAACGTTTGAACCACAAGGCTACCCCACCGCCTCGCCAGTTGAGTGAGAGCATTTGTATTCGTCGAAAAGAAATATTTCAATGATGTCACCAATGAGGATTGTGCTGTCTGTATCTCGTAGTCATGTTTTCGCAATGTTGGCCCTACGTGTACTGCATAATATCGAAAAACATTTATAGAGGGTAAGCCTAATAAGCTGCGTCTTCTGTACTGAAGGAATAAACATTGGGTTGTGCTTGTGATGAACAGACACTTGTATCATCAGGCTTTTGTTTGTTTGTTGTTTAACGCCGCACTCAGCAGTATCCCAGTTATACGGTGGCGGTCTCTAAATGCTTCACTCTGGACCAGACAAACCAGTGATCAATAGCATGAGCATCGATCTACACAATAGTGATACGATGTCGTGAATTATAGGTCACACCTGGTCTATTGTTAGGAATATAGATCACACCTGGCCTATTGTTAGGAATATAGATCACACTTGGCCTATTGTTAGGAATATAGATCACACTTGGCCTATTGTTAGGAATATAGATCACACCTGGTCTATTGTTAGGAATATAGATCACACCTGGCCTATTGTTAGGAATATAGATCACACCTGGCCTATTGTTAGGAATATAGATCACACCTGGTCTATTGTTAGGAATATAGAACACACCTGGTCTATTGTTAGGAATATAGAACACACCTGGCCTATTGTTAGGAATATAGATCACACCTGGTCTATTGTTAGGAATATAGATCACACCTGGCCTATTGTTAGGAATATAGATCACACCTGGCCTGTTGTTTGATGAACAATGAGTCTATATTTTGATACGAGTCTGAATATAGGCCATACCTGGCCTATTGTGTTAGCATGTGCCATCCAAGTCAGCGAACCTGACCATCCGATCCTGTTAGTCTCCTCCTACGACAAGCATGGGTTGATGAAGATCAACTCTAACCCGGATCTTCACGGGTATCACCAGGGAAATGATTAGCATTGTATGAGAGCTATGACACTATCATCCAGGTTGTAGTGAGTGTGTGAAGTTAGTTTTACGCCGCACACAGCAATATTCCAGCTATATGGTGATGGTCTGTAAATAATCGAGTCTGAACCAGACAATCCAGTGATCAGCAGCATGAGCATCGATCTACGCAATTGGGATGCGATGGCATGTGTCAACCAGGCACCCGATCCCGTCCCGGTTGTAAGTTTGTAGTGTGAAGCCACAGTTGGTGATATATCTGCTACTTCAACCAGGCACCCGATCCCGTCCCGGTTGTAAGTTTGTTGTGTGAAGACACAGTTGGTGATATATCTGCTACTTCAACCAGGCACCCGATCCCGTCCCGGGTGTAAGTTTGTAGTGTGAAGCCACAGTTGGTGATATATCTGCTACTTCAACAAGGCACCCGATCCCGTCCCGGGTGTAAGTTTGTAGTGTGAAGCCACAGATGGTAATATATCTGCTACTTCAACAAGGCACCCGATCCCGTCCCGGTTGTAAGTTTGTAGTGTGAAGCCACAGTTGGTGATATATCTGCTACTTCAACCAGGCACCCGATCCCGTCCCGGTTGTAAGTTTGTAGTGTGAAGCCACAGTTGGTGATATATCTGCTGCTTCAACAAGGCACCCGATCCCGTCCCGGGTGTAAGTTTGTTGTGTGAAGACACAGTTGGTGATATATCTGCTACTTCAACAAGGCACCCGATCCCGTCCCGGGTGTAAGTTTGTAGTGTGAAGCCACAGTTGGTGATATATCTGCTACTTCAACCAGGCACCCGATCCCGTCCCGGTGTAAGTTTGTAGTGTGAAGCCACAGATGGTAATATATCTGCTACTTCAACCAGGCACCCGATCCCGTCCCGGGTGTAAGTTTGTAGTGTGAAGCCACAGATGGTAATATATCTGCTACTTCAACCAGGCACCCGATCCCGTCCCGGGTGTAAGTTTGTAGTGTGAAGCCACAGTTGGTGATATATCTGCTACTTCAACCAGGCACCCGATCCCGTCCCGGTTGTAAGTTTGTAGTGTGAAGCCACAGTTGGTGATATATCTGCTGCTTCAACCAGGCACCCGATCCCGTCCCGGGTGTAAGTTTGTTGTGTGAAGACACAGTTGGTGATATATCTGCTACTTCAACAAGGCACCCGATCCCGTCCCGGGTGTAAGTTTGTAGTGTGAAGCCACAGTTGGTGATATATCTGCTACTTCAACCAGGCACCCGATCCCGTCCCGGGTGTAAGTTTGTAGTGTGAAGCCACAGATGGTAATATATCTGCTACTTCAACCAGGCACCCGATCCCGTCCCGGGTGTAAGTTTGTAGTGTGAAGCCACAGATGGTAATATATCTGCTACTTCAACCAGGCACCCGATCCGTCCGGGTGTAAGTTTGTAGTGTGAAGCCACAGATGGTAATATATCTGCTACTTCAACAAGGCACCCGATCCCGTCCCGGGTGTAAGTTTGTAGTGTGAAGCCACAGTTGGTGATATATCTGCTACTTCAACCAGGCACCCGATCCCGTCCTGGTTGTAAGTTTGTAGTGTGAAGCCACAGTTGGTGATATATCTGCTACTTCAACCAGGCACCCGATCCCGTCCCGGGTGTAAGTTTGTTGTGTGAAGACACAGTTGGTGATATATCTGCTACTTCAACAAGGCACCCGATCCCGTCTCGGGTGTAAGTTTGTAGTGTGAAGCCACAGTTGGTGATATATCTGCTACTTCAACCAGGCACCCGATCCCGTCCCGGGTGTAAGTTTGTAGTGTGAAGCCACAGATGGTAATATATCTGCTACTTCAACAAGGCACCCGATCCCGTCCCGGGTGTAAGTTTGTAGTGTGAAGCCACAGATGGTAATATATCTGCTACTTCAACAAGGCACCCGATCCCGTCCCGGGTGTAAGTTTGTTGTGTGAAGACACAGTTTGTAATATATCTGCTACTTCACGAAGGTGTTTGTGTATACAGGTGCGGTGGGGTAGTCTAGTGGTTAAAGCGTCCGCTCGTTACACTGAAGACCCGGGTTCGAATCCCCACATGGGTACAATGTGTGAAGCCCATTTCAGGTGTCCACCGCCGTGATGTTGCTGGAATATTGCTAAAAGCGTCGTAAAACTTAACTCAGGTAGTCAGTCAGTGTTTGTGTAAACAAGTCTGAATCAGACAATCCTCAATGTGACTCAAACAGGATGTTTCATTTCGGCATGATGTCTATGTCTGTGTGGAGATATCGCGACCCCTACACTTGCCGTGACGTCAAATGAATTTTCTAATCAGCAAATCAGCGCTGAAACCTCTAATCGACATATTCTGTCAGTGTATGTGATTTCTGTCTCACGAAAGCGAACCTAACTGGTAAGTTCCGAATGTAAATAGTAAAGATATAGCCATTATACTGTGGGTATTTTCTACACCCTGTCGTTTCGGAGCGCCATGACATCTACATATCAAAGGATTTTGTCATCTGTGTTACCTGGTATAAAAAATATTTCGAACCTACGTGAGAAATAAACAAAGTCGAGTTTTTTGAATACTGACATCCGACTTTCTCAATGACAAAAATATGTTTAATTTAGCGATGGATTGCCGATGTTCGCAACTGTCTACTGAGGGAATCAGAGCTTCACGCACAGAGATATCACATCGAGATAAAGCATATGATTTTGCTGAGATTGTCTGGAAGCATAAGGACCCCGTCTTTGGTTCACGATGACAATTTTCATTTCATCCCATACTCATTATGGATTGATTTAAATTCATGTTATTTAGCCAGCGTTTGATCAAGGAAGAATAAATGTACACGAAATGGATAGCAGAGTTAGGTTTAACTCCACCTATAGCAATATTCCAGCAATATTCCAGCAATATGCAGGCGAGACCTGACATGTCCTTCACACATAATATGACATGGTACCCACCTTTGGTCTCGAACTTGGGCCTTCGGCACGGCGAGCAAACTTTATACCCACTTCTACCACTAGATAGAAGATCATCAACATAACAAAATACACAAGATATATACAAACTCTTACAAAATCATCCTCTTTCGGTAGTGTGTGTACAGGTATGGGTTGCCACGGTATAGCGGGGTTCCAAATCTGATCACCTGCCGGAGGAAACAGACCAGCCAGCATGCTGTAGGCGCTCATTATAGCGCGGTCCTTATAAGTTGCAAGAATGTGAATCTATAATAATAAAAATAAATAATCAGTCAAGAAAAGTTTTTGATTATCTTAGAAATAATCAAATTAATCAAATCTCGATTAAACAACTGAAATATATTTGTGAGTGAACGTATTTTCAACAATATTGTAACACTGTACACAAACGGGCGTCAACATGGCCCTCGGGGGAATTGAACCCGCTCCTTGGGCGTGACAAGCAAAGGCGTTTATAAATGATCCATCAAAAGAGCTTGTTATGAAACGAAAATTTTGAAGACTTAAACCTATTACCACAAACAAAATAGAAACAGTCCATAATAGGGTTATAAACGTTTTCCTGCGACGCGTTTTCGATGTTATAAATGAATTTAATAAAATCAATTGATTTCTCTAGCTTTAAGCTTGCCTCATCTGCAGTGTAGTTTCCGTGTATAAAACCGCTGTCGACGTAGCGTTGTCGTAAGTACTGGCCCAGCTCATACTCCTGTCTCATGCCTACCTGTGATAAACATGACGTTTGAATTTAAAGTATTGCTTAAAGGTAGACATCGAGCGATATTAGAAGGTTGGAACACCTAACGTAAAACGTTACTATAGATGAAATCAAAGCCAACGTTATAATTAGAACTTATGAACGAAACAACCCAAACACGTGATATTAATCAGTATATCGGTAATGTGTGTATCGTTGTGGGAAGAGCAGCGTTTGGATTGGACGATCGATGGTAGCCTCCATTCAAAGATCATTCAAGAAGAAAGCAGTATTAAGTGTAAATGTTGTTGGAACTTTATGAAATTGGTCTAAACAACAGAACTATACACTTGAAATCTGGAATTCTTTTTACAAACTTTACGAAATGTTATTAGGTTGAAAACATTCGCCGATACGCTGCAACGTAAGGCACGAAACACACATATATGGTACTCTCTGTCGAACAACCGTCTCTTTTTTGTTTCTTTATCAGCCCGATCGAACATGAATACACAGAGAAAAAAAGCATCGCTACACTCCATGTTTGGCGTAGTATCAATATTTTACCATTTATTCATTCCAGGGAAACTTATTCAAACATCAATGTAACTTACCATCTGGATAAACTGGTCGTCAAGGAATAATTAAATGGTATATCGAAGCGCATTAAGAAGTAAAGACAGTATATTATTTAGAGGCGCAAAAATAGCCGAAACAGAATTACTTTATAATGCTGACAAAATTGGTCGTACCACACAAGTACCAATAACCGAACACAATGTCAAGATCTGGTGTAACCTTCGCCAAAAGCATCTAGCATCAAAGACCCTCCTCCTCCTCACTGACTCTGTCAGGCGTTGAATTGGATTGGGGATCTCACTGGCGTATTCTGTGACCATAATATCCCAAACATGACGTAAGAAGTCACCATAGGTACGTGCACGAGGTGGCCCTGTGTCCAGAGGATGGACATCGAAACGTTGTATAACAACCATGTTGTGCATGTCAGTGATATCACATCGATGTACCGTTGTCCATTCAGAGTTCTGTCTGATCGTCAGATTTAGAGCCGTTAATGAGGCACCCCACACCATCAATGGACTTCCACCAAACGGTACTTGTTCCAAAATATTCCTTTGTGCATATGCATGTTTCTGTGGCGCCAAATAGAAGCTCTGCCATCAGTCATGAACAAACGAAATCAACTTTCGTCCGACTGGTTGACCTTTGTTTAAAATCAGAGTGACGTCGAGCGTGACACCAAGCTATTCATGCTGTTTTGTACTCTGGGGATAACAACGGGCGTCTGATAAATTTTCTGGCGCTATACCTGGTCGGTTTCAGGCGATTTCAGACAGTTCTGTTGGATGCACGACGATGTGGAAGCCACTCTGATTTTACCACACCACTTGATACGAACAGATGATGTCTTGTGATTCTGAAAAGGGACGTATGCTGACGGGCGTTAACGTCATTAGTTTGGTGATGTTTTCTGGCCAATCGGCTGAAGGTCGATGGATGACGATCCATATCTCTTGCAGTAGCCTTAAATGACGCACCAGCATTCCACATACCACAAAACTGCTGTCTTTGAGAAGTTGTCAGTTGTGGAGACCCAATATTTGCTTATCAAAAACGAAATCAATTGATTTTCCTAGTCATCCAACGTAAGAAGTTGATATTTGCCTAAGGGAGATACACGTGTTTAACGTGGTGCTCGCCCTTGCTCGCAGCACGTGCATATCTAAAATCAATGTACGGTGTCCCCCAAGGTCATCATATTCATAACAAGAATAAATATACTGACATGCAAATGAAAGTACACACCCGGTACTCTTGGATCAAGCGACGTAAATGTTTTAAAAAGAGTTTTTACAGTGAAATATAAGTCACAGACTTTCCTAATATGTTGCCAAAACACCACCGATATCGTGCCCAATTGCGAAGTTGCCAGTCAAAATCACAACACTTTTCAAATAATCCCCAAACACCAGGCGTGTACTTTCTTTTGTATGTCAGTTTATGATATGAATATAGATGGCTATACAGGAGTTAAAAAGGTGTTGCGATACTTTTGTCCATGTGTACATATATGCATGCACGTTTGTAGTCACATTGTACATAATTTACAACTTACCTATACTGAAAAGACATACATATCTTTGGTGGAGGCGAGCGAGTTTAGTTTTACGCCGCTTTTACCAATATTCCGGCAATATCACGGCGGTGGGCACCAGAAATGGACTTCACACATTGTACCCATGTGGGGAGTCGAACCCGGGTCTTCGGCGTTTCTCTTTGGTGGAAACGCATTCAGTGTCCCCTCCCCTCAGCTTCTTACCTGTGTGAGTTGTCCCCACCCCTGTGGCCACGTGTCTTTTTGATGGGGGTCATTGGGATATGCGTGTGTAGGTGTCCGATCTCCATGGCGGAAAAGCTGTGACATAAAGTGAGTGAGTATAGTTTTACACCGTTTTTAAATTCAGTCCAGGATATCACGTGGGTAGGAGACATAATTAACATAAGGAACAAATAAAAATTGTGTCAGAAACTGAAACGGACAGAACCTTTCTAAACTTACTGGATAAGCTAAGGATGAACATTAAATGAATTAGAGTCATTCTGAAATGTCTCCACAAATGTCTAGCGAAAAAAAAAATCACCGATTATGTAAAGGCGAACGTGTACTGTGCAGAGCATAAACGTTTTGTTAAAAATGCATTTGAAAAGGCGTAAAGGATTTGACTTCAGGTTCAAGTATTATGAAATAAAAGAGGTGCTTTTAATCAGATATACGTATTTTATCCCAGTGTCACGATAGACACAAACCTAGTTTTATAAAATATATGGATAATAATATGTTACGTGAATGCATGATACAAATTCTGTGAATCAAAAAACTAATTACTATTTTTATTGACATTGTGTTAAAAACAATAAACAAGAGGAGTGTCACAAAGGTCTAGAACCACGTCCTCGAAGTTCACTCATGTGCACATGCCACAGGATATGTGATCTTCTGCGTTAACCTAGTCACATCATGTGTGAATCACATGTCGTGTATACGGTGACGTCTTATCTGTTAGTCCGTAGTGAGGCCACGCTGAAAGCCGACCCATACCATAGACAGCCGGGAACACTAAACATAATTAGCCTTGTAACCATGCAACGTTGTCCTGTCAGTGTAGTGTTGTATATGAGCTTTATAATTCAAGAAACGTGAGCTACGGTACCTCAAATAATGCTTATTATGAAAATGAAGGTTAAACATAATAAATGGCCAATGCATATAATTTTCTAATGTAATTCAATATTGGCATTTAAATATATTTTGCATAAATAATTTTAACTTTCAAATTTTTAAATTCTGCTTTACGATGCCTCAAATAAAACTTGTACTGACGAGAAAAATGAAGATGACAGAATAAATGACTGATGTGTGTATGCTCGTAAATTAATTTAAAGGGGTGCTGGAATATATTTTACGTGTGATAAATGGCATTATTGTGAGGATATGGTGTAACTCACCACTTGTGCGTATCTCAAACTTCCGTCCAAGGATGAGATGGCGTTGAGAACACACAGAAGAAAGCAGAGTCGCGCCATGATCACAGGTTGTCCGCTGTCGGCTGTCTTCGGTAATTTCCGTGATGGAAAGGGCGAGCGATCGCGACATTGGTTCTTTTCATTCCGATCCTGATTTGCTTCATACCGAGGTCGTCACGTAGAATAAGACGAATAGCAGAGCTATTGGTAGGTTGATAATCACAGTGTCAGCTCACGGCTTGAATAAGTCACGATGTACAGCACTGCCAGGCCATAAGCGAAAACGGAGATAATCTGGCAATGGCCTCTATAACTATCATACATAATATGAACATCGTAAATTTAGCAACAGCAGCTACGTTTCCCCTAAAAATTCGAATACATTTGTATAATATATGAAATTAGGAAATATGTTTAAGTTTATTGAACGAATATGTATATCACAACATGTGTCTGACAATATGTTAAAACCTGCAGAAAATTACTCTTCCTTCATTGCACAGATTTTTAGACGAAGAGATTCCAGGGCGTGGGTTGCCTCGTGGTTAGTGCGTCAGCCTGTCACACTGAAGACCCGGGTTCGATTTCCCCACATGGATACAATGTGTGAAGCCCATGTTTTGGTGTTCCCACCGTGATATTGCTGGAATATTGCTAACAGCAGCGTAAAACCTCACTCACTTAATCATTGGCGCTTCTCATCACAAGCCAGCAAGGTACATCCTCGCCTCCGGCGTGGAGAAGAATGGACCTTTTAAATTGTATATCGTTTGTGGACAGGTTCATGGGGTAGCTTGTCATGATGAAGACCTGGGTTCGAGTCCCCACATGGGTACAAAGTGTGAAGCCCATTTCTGGTGGCCTCCACCGTGTTATTGCTGGAATATTGCTAAAATCGGCGTAAAACTAAACTTATTCACCATTTTTTGCTTCATGGTCCGACTGGAATAAAGTAACTCTTTATTTAGGTTGAACAAATTCTAAGTGAATTTATTTGATTTTTTATTTGAATGCGGATCGTTCGACAATTTGATTTTTGAAATGATGTCATTGAGTTGCTCAAATAATCAACTAAGGTCGCAACATTGAAAGATAACATCACGCTCAAATTAATTATAAGGTTATCACGATTATAACATATAAGGAGTGAGTGAGTGAGTTTTGTTTTACGCCGCACTCAGCAATATTCCAGCTATACAGCGGCGGTATGTAAATAATCGAGTCTGGACCAGACAATTCAGTGATCAACAGCATGAGCATCGATCTGCGCAATTGGGAAGCGATGACATGTGTCAACCAAGTCAGCGAGCCTGACCACCCGATCCCATTAGTCGTCTCTTATGACAAGCATGGGTTACTGAAAATCAATATTCTAACCCGGACCTTCACGGGTAATAACATATACTCATGTCAATAATGGTAATCACCCCTTTCAATTTTATTAACAGGCTGGGGGTGACAACCATTATTGGCATGAGTATATAGGGAGATACGAAGATAACGAGTATACGTATATAAAAGTATCTTCATATAGACCGCCTCCGTGGTGTAGTGGTTAGAGCGTCCGTAATTGTTTCTGAACAGTCAAGATCGATAGTCCTAGGTTCGAATCCCATATTTGCCCCTGTTTGCCCCTGTAGCACACGGACCGCCTCCGTGGTACAGTGGTTAGAGCGTCCGCCCGGAGAGCGGAAGGTCGCGGGTTCGATCCCCGACCGCGTCATACCAAAAGACGTTAAAATATGATACTTGTTGGTCTCTGCCTGGCGCTCGGCATTAATGGGTACAACAAGGACTGGAGGGCTCGGAGTCAGTATAATGTGTGTGAGAGGGGTATTCATGCTTCACTGCGGCATGGTATCTCAGTGGGCTAGCACTATAAAACCAGCTTAAGTCTGGGCTAGTACAAGCAGCCGCACATACACATACACACGCATGCACGTCGTTAAACCCAATTTCACCTCACCTCATCTTCAATATAGATGAAAGTAGCCTATGATAGAAGTAACGTATAATCAAAGTATACTCTCTAAAAAGAGAAGAGTAAGAATTTTAACCACAAGTTACACTTTATTTTGAAACATCGTACGGAATTTAATAGCATATGGAATTCAAAGAAAGATATAAAGGCAATATATGACTGCAAAAGTCTAGATATATATTTTAAAATATATTGTCCAAACATTGATTCGAACCCCTCCTGTGCTATAAAGCCAGATGTTTGAACTGTCCGATGATGGTCTGGCTTGTACAGCTGAAGGTGTTTTTAAACATAATCCCACAAAAAGTTCCTGTTTTACGTTAGTGTATATTGTGAGTTTAATTGATAAAGTGCTCTTATCAATGCCAGTAGCCGAAATCAATGTCATCTTAAAGTGATCCATGTCTAGAAAATTATGAGGATTTCGGGTCGGAATTGTACCCATTGCTTGTCGTAAGAGGCAACTAGATTTGATATATTGGTCAGGCTCAGCGTGTTGGTTGTTAGTGAATAATCGTTTCCTAATGTTTCATCATGGTGCTTTCGGTAAAAACCCGAGGTTCAATGACTGTGTTTGTGTTTGTATTTATGTTTGTTTAACACCCTACTCAGGAATATTCCAGCTATATGGCGGCGGTCAGTACATAATCGAATGATCCAGTGATCAAACGCATGAGCATCTTTCTATGCAATTGGGATGCGATGACATATGTCAACCGAGTCAGCGAGACTAACAGCCCGATCCCGTTAGTCGACAAGCACAGGTTGCTGAAGATCAATTTTAACCAGGATCTTCACGGATTCCCTGAAACATGTGCATTAACGACAAACACAACAGATGATTCTGTTTGCACCTAAAACATGTAAGTCACAAAATAAACATCACAACCTTTGAATCTAATATCACATTATACTGCAAGTTAAACACTGTTGTATCGAAGCTAAATAGACCCATGAAAATTCTTCGAGTTATTCGAGGTTCGACAAAACTAAAAAATTCGCTAAATATGGAATACACTGCGCAAAACCTTTGCCAAGCAACAACCAATTCGACACATCCAGATTCGACATAACGGCATTTGACTGTGGTTATATAAACAATGAGATGAAGCCGGGTCGCAGGCGGTCCCATGCTTGTCGTAAGAGGAGACTTAATGGATCAGGGTCGGTTGTGTCATATCTGAAATTGTAAAAGAAATTTAAATGTAACAGCATGGTACTGATTTCATTCGATCAATAGGTGTATTTCCTAAATGGTAACTGATTTAAAGCTGATATTGATATTTAAAGGCAACACACATTTAAACGTAGTAAGCATATTTCGATCAGTTCATTAGACGTACGCGGATTTTCGTAACACCGATGCTTGACACAGTTCAATAACACACTTATTAATTTGACATTCACACATACATGTATAATTTTTCATAGTGATATCGAAAGAGGTAAAACAAATATTTGAACTACGCGTACACCATCTGAGGCGGAGACCCGTGAAGGTCCGGGTTAGAATGAGCCTTCAGTAACCCATGCTTGTCGTAAGAGGCGACTAACGGGATCGGGTGGTCAGGCTCGATGACTTGGTTGACACATGTCATCGTACCCCAATTGCGCAGATCGATGCTCATGCTGTTGATCACTGGAATGTCTGGTCCAGACTCGATTATTTACAGACCGCCGCCATATAGCTGGAGCATTGCTGAGTGCGGCGTAAAACTAAACTCACTCACTCACTCATCTGGGGCGAAGAATTTTCGTGGTGAAGAAGAAACAGAAATAGTATTTACTACAATAACTCCCAGGAACAAATTTCAAAAAAAATAATACCAGTGTTTCGGCGACTTATTAGTTCATAAAGATTTCATAACGCTTTTCGTCAGTCCAATTATCGGGTGTATACTTTCTTCAATTCATATATAACTATATATGTTAATTGATGTTCACATTACTAACATGAGAAAGCAGACGGTGAAGTCAATTGAGAAACGTCAGGTCCAATGTTAATGTTTATGAAAGCAAGTGCAATTCCAAAATAAATTTCAAATGAAAAATTGAAGAGTCACAAAACGTAAAAATATAAGTATATATGTTACAGCTATATTATAGCGTGTTTAAGCTGGAACAGATAAAACAGAGGTCGATAGCATGAGCAACCCTCTGTGACACACGATCAAGATCATCAGGGTCATCCAAAACAGAAAAAAATTGAACTGTCATCTCTGAAATTATATTGAAATAGATTTATCACTAAAGATTTATCATTTTGGAACCTTGCTTTAATCCGTTTTCTATAACACTAAATATAGAAGGCCAAATCCCGTACACATGACGTACAATGTTTCCTTTCAATACACCGTATAGAGTGGTGAAGCTGTAAGATCAGCTTCCTCCAGATTTGCACGGACACCTCGTTTGTGGATGCACGTGTACAATGTCGTCTGTGCAACCTGCTTACAATACACATGAACATCTGACTGTGCTCTGACACCGACAGTGAGATCGTGAGTGAGTATGGTTTTACGCCGCTTTTAGCAACATTCCAGCAATATCAAGGCGTGGGACACCAGAAATGGGCTTCACACATTGTACCCATGTGGGGATCAAACCCGGGTCTTCGGTGTGAAGAGCGAAAGCATTAATCACGAGGCTACCCCACCGCCACCTGAGCATCCACGAGCAAGTCTTGCCTGTGACGCTGGATCCTTGTGATGAGCACGGGGGCGTGGGCGGTTGCCCCAAGCACGTGGCCACTGGGTCATCTGGAATGACGTCACGTGTCAATACCTTTAACTTCGAGAGTGGACAAGACGAACCGCACCCTGAAACGAAAGAGTGGACATGGTAAGTTTACTTCATCGTTGAGCCGCATTTCTGATATAACACATTGTGTCGACTCGTCATACAACACACACACACACACACACAGAGAGATAGAGAGAGAGAGAGAGAGAGAGAGAGAGAGACAGAGGAGAGAGACAGAGAGAGAGAGAGAGAGATAGAGAGACACACACAGAGACAAACAGAGAGAGAGAGACACACACACACACACACACACACACACACACACACACACATAGCTCAGCTGCTCAAAGGCGCTTTGTTTTCCCTTCGATCACTGGATGTCAATCTCAACGGCACGTCGTATTATCAGTCTCAACTCCCTGGGGAGTATACAACTCTTGCAGCCACTAGGCGCACCGAGTTTATGTGGCTTTCCCATCCTTACAAGGTACCCATTAACAGCTGGGTGGACTGGAACACATAGTCACAGTACTTTGTCAAAGTTTACTGCACGTTGCTGTACCCGCAACTTGGTGTTTGCACGTATTCATGTGAACACCATCTGGTCATATACCAACGGATTCGTGGGTTCTTTTAAATGCAAAGGGTTGTGTACTGTACACTAGGGGTTGGGAGGGTTGTGACAACACTGAAAGAGCCTGCACACAAAGATGACTCCAAGGTTTTTACACCCGGTCATAGGTGGGCTCGATCCCGACACCTCAAGCTCGTTGGATCACTAGCCTGGCGCTTAAGCCAGTTCGCCCACCACGCCCCCACTTTCCATTTATATGTCATTTAAGGACCAAAACATGCGTTTAAACGTATACCAGGTTATTTTTATCAGCTAGCACGAACATGGTTTTAACAAACCCGGAAACATAATCGAGGCCAACAGATTTCGAGCTCACAATCACGAGTGCCTCGTACACACAAGGGACGCAACTCTGCACGGATGATTACTTCTCTTCAGCGCCCCCATTACTGACGGTGATATTGCTGGAATATTGTTAAAAGCTGCGTAAAAAGCATACTCTCTCATCACTACTGACGGTGCACATACCTGGTACTGTCAGAAAGTACGGCTGAACAGTCGTGTCATTTCTGTAGTGGAACTCGACAGTGTATCCCTCAGTATCGTCGTGATGGAGCTCCACAAGCACCGCCGAGGCATATGGGATATGCACTTGGTTGAACATCCCCATTGCCGACAACAGAGCGTTGATGTTGGTTTCGTGCTGACGTACAGAATGTGTTGCCATGGTTATAAGAAAATGTATGCTAATATTACCGCATCACAGATGACAATTTTTTATTGCGTTCTTTGAAAATAAGGAAACTTTTACTCAAAACGTGTTTACTGAAAAGAAAAGGAGACTTTGCTCATTTCAGTTATTGAAGTGAGCGCTGTCATTTTGTTTATGTGTTCGTTGTTTATCGCTTCTCTCATCAAGAGCGTCCTTTCTTTTGGAAAGGCTATTGCCAACGTAACTCAAACATAATGATACATTCAACGGAATGTTATAATCCTTATTTCTTCCGCAGACTCGATAACATCTTTTGTCCAACTCTCGTTGGACATATACCCGTGAAGATCCAGGTTAGAATTTGTCTTCAGCAACCCAATGCCTGTCGTAAAAGACGACTAACGGGATGGGTGGTAAGGCTCGCTGACTTTGTTGACATATATAATTGTATCCCAATTGCGTAGATCGATTCTCCGAACATTAATCACATGGTTGTCTGGTCCAGACAGGATTATTTATTTATTTATTTCATATGGCCAGATAATGGCAGAGTGTAGTGTTAAACAATACACAAACAAAACCTCGTGGGTGGCATGCTTTACTTACGCCTGAGAAGAAGTTAATCTTTTGTGTGATGTTGTTAAAGTTGACAACGTCTTCCATATTCTTTATGAATTTCCCCAGAAGTGGACCTGGAACATCAGAGAGTGAGTGAGTGGATGGAAGGACGGGTTTGATGTTTGAATGAGTTCGTGGAGAGTGCCACTTTGGTCATGACTCGAGTTGTTCGAACCCATGATCAGCAGATCCTGCTACACTTGATAGAAGTAACCCTATACAGCAAATTATATGTCAGATAATCAAGTTTGTGAAACTTGTTTGCTTGAGTCTACCTCCTCGTATCCTGGCCATTGCTTTAGTGTGGAACTTGAGCTGAGCCACCATGTTCTTGAGTGCCCGGAACCTCTTGTACACGTCATTTTGTCGGAGCCACAGGGGAAACGTCATGTTGTTGTCGTTCTGTGGGAGTATAACGGAGTTATATTACATTTATATCACAGCTCGACAGCTTGAATTGGGAGGAGAGTCCAAAGCGACCCAGGGTCCGGATGCTTACCACGTTTGTGAAACCCAACAGCATGGTTTTGTTCTGAGGAAACAAGAAGCATTTTTGGGACGATAATCGGCTTCTGGCAACTCTGCACACCAACACCCACCTGTGCCACCCCATCTAATTAACTAACATATTTGTTGAACTTTCACTTTCATATTATCCCTTGTTTCATTGTTCTCTCTGATTTGCACCCCCGTGTTCTGTGTAGCCTCCTCTCCCTATCGTCTGCTCCCTCTGGCACCCTCTATCTTGTTCTCCCTTGTTTCATTGTTCTCTCTGATTAGCACCCCCGTGTTCTGTGTAGCCTCCTCTCCCTATCGTCTGCTCCCTCTGGCACCCTCTATCTTGTTCTCCCTAGGCAAGAGAACAAGGTAAAGGGTGCCAGAGGGAGCAGACGAGAGAGGGGGCTTTAGGGAATAAGAGGGGGCAAATCAGAGAGAACAATGAGACAAGGGAGAACAATGATTACATAATGCCATTTAGAAAGTGGTCAAATGTAACGTGTTATATTTGGGATTACACTTTCTTAGTAAAGTACAAATTCTAGTACTGTTTGACTTGAGCCCCATCCGGGATTCGAACTCACACCCTCAGAGTCAGGCACCTAATCGCCAGCACACAAAGTCAGCCGCCTAACCCGCTCAGCTACCGCGACTTCCACAGAAATGGAAGTCGGACAACCGGTAGTCTAGACTGCGGGCGTTGTGCACCCCTCTGATAAGGGTTCATTGGCACGGTTCCCACGGCCCAAAGCTATGATTACACAGTGCCATTTAGAAAGTGGTCAAATGTAACGTGATATTATATTATGTATTAGGTGCCTGACTCTGAGGTTGTGAGTTCCGTGAAGATCCGGGGTAAAATAGGTCTTCAGCAACCCATGCTTGTCCCAAAAGGCGACTATGCTTGTCGTAAGAGGCGACTAACGGGATCGGGTGGTCAGGCTCGATGACTTGGTTGACACATGTCATCGGTTCCCAATTGCGCAGATCGATGCTCATGCTGTTGATCACTGGCTTGTCTGGTCCAGACTATTATTTACAGACCGCTGTCATATAGCTGGAATATTGCTGAGCGTGGCGTAAAACTAAACTCACACACTCACTCACACCTAGGCCTTACTGTACGTTACGTTCTTCTCACCTCAACAAATATGGGGTCAAACATGTCGACCAAACTTTCAAAGGTAGGAGGATATCCCGAATGCTTTCCGAGGAGGTCGATCAGATCCTGGAACAACGACGAAGTCGAGAACACATAAAACAAACCAGTGAGTGAGTGAGCTAAAGAGATTTAATTGACAACGCTGTCACAGTACTTCAGTCACCTCACGGTCATCACTCAGACGTTTACCAATTTTGTCAATGAACATTAGTCCAACACGCATCCAGTCCAGAAGTAATTCACAAATACAGGGGCGGTGGGGTAGCCTAGTGGTGAAAACGTTCGCTCGTCACACCGCAGACCCGAGTTCGATCCCCACATGGGTACAGGCCAATTTATGGTGTCTCCTGACGTGATATTGCTGGAATATTGCTAAAAGCGCCGTAAAAAACCAAACTCACTCACTCATGCATACAACGCGTCTTTGTTCTTCCCTGACAATGGATCATGGGCAGATGACTTTTATTCTCCGCTCCTTTGGAAGTATACGACAACAGCTGGACACTCGCAGCATATTCGCTCAAGCATCATAGTTACTAGAAAGATGGAAAAAATACCTGATTCTGTGTCTCGAGATGTTTCACATAATTCGTTTTCCACAGTGTATTTTTTCAAAGCATCATATGTCGGGCAATCCATTTCCAATATCTGAAAATAGAAATACATTTCAAAATACATATTAAAATTAAAACTTCCGTTGATACGTTAATGCGGGTATGATACATGGTAATGAGCTTAGAGGCGAACAGGACCTTTCGGGTTGAGAGGAAACACGATAGCCACTTAGCCACTTCACTCGCATAATGTCCTGGCACCCGATCCACACAGCGTTCGTAGCGCTACGACATTCGTAAACATATGATAAACTATAGTTACGACAGGTCGTAACATTACGAACGCTTTGTGGATCGAGGCCCTGGTATGTATTTTCTGGAGGCTGACTGACTGACTGAGTTTAGTTTTACGCCGCTTTTAGCAATATTCCAGCAATATCACGTCGGGGACACCAGAAATGGGCTTCAAACATTGTGCCCATGTGGGGAATCGAACCCGGGTCTTCGGCGTGACGAGCCAACGCTTTAACCACTAGGCTACCCCACCGCCCCTCTGGAGGCTGATGTAACGGGCGAGTGTAAATATACCACAGCGCCAAAAATATCTGAAATTTATATTTTGCGTTTCTGTTATTGATCCCAGCCGTGAAGATACGGGCTAGAATTGATCTTCAGTAACCCATGCTTGTCGTATAAGGCGACTAACGGGATCGGGTGGTCAGGCTCGCTAGCTTGCTTGACACATTTCATCGTATCCCAATTGCGTAGATCGATGCTCATGCTGTTGATCACTGGATTGTCTGGTCCAGACTCGATTATTTACAGACCGCCGCTGGAATAGTGCTGAGTGCGGCGTAAAACTAAACTCACTCTCTCACTCCAAGCGCCAGTTGACTGAGTGCATTTTTTTCTACCTTACGAAGAACTGTGCGATTCTGTCAGCTGGCATTCACATGTTTTATATAAATGCGTAATTTCGAAAACACTTCACTTGATAAGGGACAGCCAAAAAAACATTTTGTAATCTGCACAGATGTTGAACTTTGTTAAACCGAGGAATGTATCCATTCGGTGATTAGAGTGAGAGAGTGAGTCTGGTCTTACACCGCTTTTAGCAATATTCCAGCAATATCATGGCTGGGGACACATGAAATGGACTTCACACATTGTATCCATGTAGGGAATCGAATCCGGGTCCTCGGCGTGCCGGGCAAACGCTTTAACCACTAGGCTCGTTAGGATGAGAAAGCCACAATAACTCGGTGCGCCTAGTGGCTGCAAGAGTTGTATACTCCTCAGGGAGTTGAGATTGATAATGCGATGTGCCGCTGAGATTGACATCCAATGATCGAGGGAAAAAAATACCAGCGCCTTGAGCATGCACTAGTGCGTGGATATGTGCGCTATACAAATATCCTATAATAATAATAAATAAATAGGCTATCCCACCACTAGCGTCGCTGTTGTGATGAGCTGACACTTTTATCACTAGGTTACCGAGAGAAATGACTGACACAGTGTGATAGCCATGCCACGATCATGCTGGTGGCAGTTTGTTTGTTGTGTGGAGATTACCCCAGCTATACATCACGAAGGCCTTTGAATAAATTAATCTTTTTTTTTTCTTTTTTCTTTTTTTTATTCATGACATATAATATACATTGCTGTTTATGAAAAAACACACAAACAAAATTATAAGCGCACAATCGCAAATCAAAAGTGCAATGTTTTGTTCTTTTTTTTCATACGAAATATTTCATCCTTTTCTCCGAAAATATGTTCTTCTAGTTTGAAATGGTATTTTATGAAATATTTAAGTTGGTTGATATTTAATTGATCAGACAAACCACAATGTCAAAGTTTGATCTTTCATCCCATTATAATACGGATCTTAATGATGATCAAACTGGATATCTGGATTTGTTTGTTGTGTAACGCTTCACTCAACACTATGCCAGCGATATGGCGGCGGCCTGTAATAATCGAGTCTGGACCAGGCACTCCAGTGATCAACAGCATGAGCATCGTTCTACGCAATTGGGATACGATGACATGTGTCAACCAAGTTCAGCGAGCCTGACTACCCAATCCCCTTAGTCGCCTCCCCCAACGAGCATCGGTTACTGAAGAGCAGTTCTAAACCTGATCCTCGCGGGTCTTCAATCAGTGACGTGGCTTCACCGTTTATGTTAGTCGCCTCTAACGACAAGCATTGGTTGCATTCGTGTTATTCCGGGACAAGCCGAATAGCGACTCGTGCCCCTCTTGAAGGATTTCATATTGGCGTAGGAACATCAGAACTACTTCAAACAGGAACGATAACTCTATTACTGTTTGATTCCAATGGTACTTAATATCACCGAAGTACTCATACATTGTATTGCTGTTTTTGTTTTTGCTATTTATTCTAAAGAATTAACCTCCTTGGTACAACTAAAAGAAAGGAAAAAACCTATTTGTTAAAGACATATTCTGACGTAATTATTACCAGATATTCACCTTATATTTCCAATTATATTTCTGAAAAGGGTTTAATAATCACAAATGGGATTTGTTTTATTGAATATGCAAATAAAATTTGTAAAAAAAACCCGCTACATTAAATCCCAAAGCAGAAACTCAAAAAATGACTTTTATAATATTTATCAAACTGAACATACGTGTAACCTTGCTGTCATACCACAAGTGGACTTTTAACTGAATTCGCTGAAAAATATATGTATAACCACAAGAAGGTCAGACTAAAATATTCCCAGAGAATTGAAATATATGCCCAATGTTAAAGATTAAAGTTGGTTAGTTACATACAGATATAATAGTACTCAGATAGCGCTTTTGAGCAATTAGATTTATGTATGTATGTATGTATTGTTTTGAAACTCGTAGCGATTTATAATTACATGGGGCGGTGGGGTAGCCTAATGGTTAAAGCGTTGGCTCGTCACGTTGAAGACCTGGGTTCGAATCCCCACATGGGTACAATGTGTGAAGCCCATTTCTGGTGTCCCCCGCCGTGATGTTGCTGGAATATTGCTAAAAGCGGCGTAAAACCAAACTCAGTCAGTCAGTTATAATTACATTTCCTAAAATTGTTGGAAGCGCACGTACAATCTCCATAGCAAGCCCGCAAGATCGTCAGAAACACCATCAGTTGGACCCACGAGAGCCGTTATGTCAACAAACGCACGTGCGTGTATTTGAATCTCTCGCCGTCAATCGCATGATTCTTATCAAAAACACCATAATAGGCAGCAATATGACGATATATAGTTTTCATGATTTTTTAAACAATGACATAATGCCATAAACGATTTAAGTACTCAGGATTATTTTTACCAAAGCACCGCAGTCATTTACGCGTGTTCTGATTGGTTTGTCGTATTTTCGCACATAACAAGCATCGAGAGGGGGATGAGTCTTCTTGCAGGTTACGGAAAGGGGCGAGTGGTGACGAATGCATTGGTTGCTGATGACCAATTCTAACTCGGATGTTCACGGGTGGGATACTCTGTTGGTGACGTCAGATGTCTTCCTAATCTGCCAATCAGCGTTGACATCTCTAAGCGATTTATTTTCACATAATATTTGATTTCCCTTGAAAGCGAACTTAAATGACCAGTTTCGAATGTAAACAGTTAAGACCTAACAATTATATTGTGGGTATCTTATATTCCCTGTCGTTTCTGAGCGCCATGGCATGTACATCTAAAAGGTTCTGCCAGGAATAACTGTGTTCTGTATTCGTTCGCTGAAATCAATACATCGAATCCTATGGTAAAGAAATTACGGAAAGTTGAAAATGATTTTCTCAGGGTCACAAACATGTTTAATTTAACGACGTTTGGTCTCGAACCCGTGCCTTCGACTCTTTGAACGAACGCTATAACCACGAGGCTATCCAACCATAACCAAAGATATAAAAACTTACAAAATCATCCTCTTTCGGCAGTGTGTGTACAGGAATGGGTTGCCATGGTATAGCGGGGTTCCAAATCTGATCACCTGTCGGGGGAAACAGGCCAGCCAGCATGCAGTAGGCGCTCATTATAGCGCGGTCCTTATAACTTGCAAGAACGTGAATCTGTAATACAAAAATACACAATACTTAAGTGAAAGTTTTCGATATATTTCAAAAACATTCAGATTAAATATATTAGGATTAATCTGAGAGAATGGTTGGCGACATATTTAAGAGTGAGTGTGTGAATATAGTTTTACGCCACTTTTAGCAATATTCCCGCGGGGGACACATTATTTAAGAAGAATCGTAACATTGGTCTCACATATTTACGCGTGTGAGGAATCGATCCTTCAGCTCAATGAGCAAACACATTAACCACTAATCCTCACCAGTAATAAATCAAATAAAACGAAAATCATTATAAAACAATAATCTTTAACAATGAATATTATGGATGATATAAAAATAAAAGAAACTTTATAGCCTTATAACAAAGATGGCATTTTTCTATACAATAGAAGCGACTAAATCCTTTCCACATCCATAAGAAATCTCTGCTTACAGAGTCGATTGTACAAATGTGACTATCTCATGAGCAGATATTTGTTTCAGCAGTATTACAGATGTACGATGTTGTTTGTAAACAAATCGAGTCTGGACCAGACAATCCAGTGATTGTCACCATGCGATACGATGACAAGCAAGTAATTGATTAAAACTCAATTGATTTCTCTAGCTTTAAGCTTGCCTCATCTGCAGTGTAGTTTCCGTGTATAAAACCGCCGTCGACGTAGCGATGTCGTAAATACTGGCCCAGCTCATACTCCCGTCTCATGCCTTCCTGTGATAAACATGACGTTTGAATTAACTGAAATGCTTGAAGGTAGACACCGAGCGATATTATAAGGCCGGAGCCCTAACGTCGTACATCACAATACGATCAGAACGTATGCACAGAAAAGCATCAAAACACCTAATAGTAATCTCGTTGTGGGAAAAGCAACGTTTGCATTGGATGATCGATAATAACCTCCTCCGGGGGAGCACATAAAATAAAAGCAGTGTTAAGTGTAGAAACGTCCGGAAATTGTTCTAAACAACCCGGCAAAAGAATGTATGTCCTGAGATCTGGACGGAACAAATGCAAACCTTATGAAGATTTTATCAGGTTGAAAACAAGCGCCGAAACACGACAGATTTATGGTCTTAAAAACATGGTACTCGTATCAAGTACCTCAACCATTTGTTGTTTGTTTCATGCTTAGCTGCTATAAAGCATGGGTATGCTCTTTCTTAAAATAAATTTGCTCACATATAAAGAGGCTCACAATGTACATTATATTTACTGACTGACTGACTGAGTTTGGTTTTACGCCGCTTTTAGCAATATTCCAGCAACATCACGGCGGGGGACACCAGATATGGGCTTCAAACATTGTACCCATGTGGGGATTCGAACCCGGGTCTTCGGTGTGACGAGCCAACGCTTTAACCATTAGGCTACCCCACCGCCCCACATTATATTTGCAACGTACCTGCAAGGACAAGACAACTCCCTTTGGTTGACGTAGAGTGAGTGAGTGAGTGAGTGAGTGAATAAATGTTGCTTTAAGCCACGTCAGCAATTGTGCGGCTATTATAATAGAAGATTTATAATATAATAGTAGATTTGTATTGCGCTTTTCCATACTTGGATATTATGCTCAAAGCGCAGTGAGATTTGATCAGAAGAAAGCTTGGCGGAAAAGATGGGTTTTGATAGCTGTTTTGAAGGCAGAACAGGTTTGACACTGGCGAACATCAAGGGGAAGATTGTTCCAGGCAATGGCTGCAGCATATGCAAACGATTTCTTCCATAACGATTTCTTCCCATAAATAAAGATGTTTCAATTTTGGAAGGGTAAACAGACAATGGAAGTGAATTCAGACCGAAGGGTTCTGCTGGGACAGTAGCAATGGAATGCACAGAGATAAGAGTAGCTTAAAGTCGATTTAAAAGTCGATTCTATTGGCGACTAAGTTGAAGTCCATACCTCTTCCTTACCCCTCAGATACTTACCTGTGTGAGTTCTCCCCACCTCTGTGGCCACGTGTCTTCTTGATAGGGGTCATTCGGATAGGTGTGTTCGGGTGATCGATCTCCATGGCGGAACAACTGCAACAGAAATATAGTTCGCATAGTTTTATGCCGCTTTTAGAAATAGTCCGCCAACGTCTCCTTGATCAGGGATATAATTACGACAAAGAACCCAGAATACATAATGCCATTTAGAAAGAGGTCAAATGCAGCATATCATATATTTGGGATTACGCTTTCTCAGTAGAATTGTGCAAGAATATGTACATTACTGGACCCGTGAAAATCCGGGTTAGAATTGCTCTTCAGTAACCCATTATTGTAGTTACATGCGACTAAACGGATCGGGTGGTCAGGCTCGCTAACTCGGTTGACATATGTCATCGTATCCCAATTGCGTAGATCGATACTCATGCTGTTGATCACTGGATTGTCTGGTCCAGACTCGATTATTTACAGACCCCCGCAACATAGCTGGAATATTGCTGAGTGTGGCGTAAAACTAAACTCACTCACGTATAACATATATTGCTTAAAGAACATAGGTCAAATAGAACATAGGACGGAAACCTTTAAAATATATGTTGCACAAAGATCATAGGTCAACTAGAACATAAGACTGAAACCTTTAAAATATATGTTGCACAAAGATCATAGGTCAACTAGAACATAAGACTGAAACCTTTAAAATATATGTTGCACAAAGATCATAGGTCAAATAGAACATAGGACGGAACCCTTTAAAACATATATTGCTCAAAGAACATAGGTCAAATGAAACACAGGACAGAATCCTTTAAAACATAGGTTGCACAAAGAACGTAGGTCAAATGAAGGACGGAATCCTTTAAACTAAAAGGATAACCCATGGATAAGTATTTGGGGACGTCTTAAAATCGTCGGATTTCTAAAGGAGAGCATGTATTGTGCAAAACATAAACGTTTTGCTGAACCACATTAACGTACTCCACAAATCATTTGTCTTTCAGGTTTAATGCTGTTTAAGAATGAAACTGAAATGCTTAGTCATGTGTACATAATTGTCGGCGTGCCATGGCAGAGAATTACATTAAATGAAAAATATACATTTATGTCTGCCGCAGGATTCATGAAACAATACTCAGTCTGGTTTAAAAACAACTAATTTATCATATGCAATATATGATATGAAAAAAACAATTTAAAACATACAGGACTATGAAGCAATATCTAGACCAACGTCATCTGAGCTATGTGCATGTATTACTGTCATGTTTGTTTATTTGTTTGTTTGCTTACACCGCATGCAGCAATATTCCAGCTATATAGCTGCGGTCTGTAAAGGATCGAGTCTGATCCAGACAATCCAGTGATCAACAGCATGAGCATCGATCTATGCAATTGGTTGGTTGGTTGGTTGTTTAACGCTGCACTCAACAATATTCCAGCTATATGGTGGCGGTCTGTAAATAATCGAGTCTTGACCAGACAATCCAGTGATCAACAGCATGAGCATCGATCTATGCAGTTGGGATACGATGACATGTGACAACCAAGTAAGCGAGCTGTCCACCCGATTCCGCTTGTCGCCTCTTACGACAAGCACGGGTTGGTGATGACAAACTCAAACATGGATCTTCACGGGTGTCATTGTAAATATACACTCACGTCAATGAATGTTGCGTTGTGATAACCTGCGCCCAATCCTTTCATGAAAATATTAATTTAAAACTAAACTAACATTATTGAAATGCAATTACTGATGAAGAAACTTATACAATTTAATTGCGTAATATTACACAATGTAACACATTACAAAAGTACTAGTTTTATGGACTGCCTCCGTGGTGTAGTGGTTAGAGCGTCCGCCCGGAGAGCGGAAGGTCGCGGGTTCGATCCCCAACCGCGTCATACCAAAAGACGTTAAAATATGGTACTTGTTGGTCCCTGCCTGGCGCTCGGCATTAATGGGTACAACAAGGACTGGTGGGCTCGGAGTCAGTATAATGTGTCTGAGTGGGGTATTCATGCTTCACCGCGGCTTGGTATCTCAATGGGCTAGCACTATAAAACCAGCTTACGTCTGGGCTAGTACAAGCAGCCGCACATACACATAGACACGCATGCACGTAGTCATATGAGCGAAATATTCTCAAGCACGACGTAAAACCCATTTTCACCTCACCTTACTAGTTTTATGACCATAACATTACAAGCGTACAATTTGTTTTTCCAGTAATCGGCATCGAATCATTGTCTTCTTATCATAATAAATTAAGCACAACATTAGATTGTGAAATTACATTCATTTTCATCTAGACCGATATTGCACAGAAGGAAATGTCTACCCAAGAGACTTCCCTGGATCGATCCCTATTTCGATCATTACCCGACGGCAACCATATCGAAATATGGACGTATTGAAGACACGAGGGAACCATGCTGAAGATAGGCGGAGATAGTGAACATAATTAGCCTTACAACCGCACAACGCGACCCGTCTGTGTTGGATTGGTGTATTTACTTGAAATTTTGAATTTACTTGAAATTTTGAATTCAAGAATTTGAATACAGTGCCTCAGATAAAAATCCTACTGAAGGGAAAATTGAAGACAAAAGAGTGAATGACATATGCATTAATTATTTTAATTAATGAGTTGTGTTGAAAAATATTTTAAAATGCATAAATAATTTTATCTTTTATATTAAAAGCTTTGACGTATGTCTAAAACATATATTGTAATGAAGAGTGAGTGATGGGGTTTCTTATGAAAACGTTGCTTTTAGCGATATTCCAGCAAAATCATGGTTGGGGCCACCAGAAATGAGCTTCACACAACCCGGGTCTTCGGCGTAAAGAGCGAACGCTTTAACCACTGGGCTACCCCACCCGGCTGGTATTAAGAGAAAATGAAGATGAATTAGACTGACTGACTGAGTTTGGTTTTACGCCGCTTTTAGCAATATTCCAGCAACATCACGGCGGGGAACACCAGAAATGGGCTTCACACATTGTACCATGTGGGGATTCGAACCCGGGTCTTCAACGTGACGAGCCAACGCTTTAACCACTAGGCTACCCCACCGCTCAGATGAATTAGAATAAATGGCTTGTGTATTTAATGTTCCTAACTTTATTCTGAAGTGGTATTGAAATAATATAATTTGTATTTGATAAATATCATCGTGCTGTTAGGCTGTAACTCACCACTTGTGCGTATCTCAAACTTCCGTCCAAGGATGCAATGACATTGAGGAGAATACATAGAAGCAAACAGCGTTGGGCCATGATGGCGAGATGTGTGGTCGACTGTCCTCGGTAATTTCCACGACTGAAGGAGAGAGATCGCGACGCTTATGTTTTTTATGCTGAACTGATTACTTTACTCTCTTATCGTCAGCTGGAGAGTAATTTGTACAATTTGAAGACAGAGTATGTTGAAAGAGATTTTAAGATATGTCAAAGCCGATCTGATTTTTTAGACTCATGGTGGCGCAGTCCGCGGACGTGCGCTACAGGTGAAGTGAGATGAGGTGAGGTGAAATGGGGTTTAAAGAATATTTCGCTCATATGACGACGTGCATGCGTGTGTGTGTGGCTGCTTGTACTAGCCCAGGCTTAAGCTGTGTTTATAGTACTAGCTCACTGAGATACCATGCCACAGTTAAGGCATGAATACCCCACTCAGACACATTATACTGACTCCGAGCCGACCAGTCCTTGTTGTACCCATTAATGCCGAGCGCCAGGCAGGGACCAACAAGTACCATATTTTAACGTCTTTTGGTATGACGCGGTCGGGGATCGAACCCGCGACCTTCCGCTCTCCAGGCGGACGCTCTAACCACTACACCACGGAGGAGGTCCGTGCGCTACAGGGGCAAACAGGGGCAAATATGGGATTCGAACCTAGGACTATCGAGCTTGACTGTTCAGAAACAATTACGGCCCATCTAACTGGTTGTGTGTGGATGTTTGGGAGTTTGGAGTATTTGAGTGAATGAATTTATAAGTGGATCTGTGGGTGTTTGCTTGTGTGGTGTGAGTGAGTGAGTTAATCAGAGGATGTTTTAGTGTTGTTGTGTAGGTGTTTCGGTTCGAGCGTGCGTGCGTGTGTGCGTGCGTGCGTGTCTGTTGCGTTTCATCTATAATATTACTACAAAACATCGACGAAATATCACAGACGATGTCAAATCCATACTTTAGTTAGTAATCTTTAATTCTTTTAGATCCAATCTAAAAACACACATGTTCAAGATAGCCTTTGAACTGTAGCTCTTTACCATTAATCTCATCTTTATCTTGTGCGCTTTGAGCACGCTTTAGCATGGATATATGCGCGTAACAAATATGCTATTATTATTATTATTATTATTATTATTATAATCCATAAATCAAAGTATTGAAGCCTCAGATGATTCATGTTTATGCACTGTTTGTTTGTTGTTTAATGCAGCACTCAACAATATTCCAGCTATATGGTGATGGTCTGTAAATAATCGAATCTGGACCAGACAAGCTAGTGATCAACAGCATGAGCATCGATCTACGCAACTGGGACTGACATGTATCAACTAAGTCTCGAGCCTCACCACCCGATCCGGTTAGTCGCCTCTTACGACAAGCACTGGTTGCTGAAGACCAACTCTAACCCGGATCTTCACGGGTCTATTATATATCTGCCAATCACTAAAGTATGTTCCTTACGTTGATAAATTAATTATTGTTCACTACGCCCATGCATATTACACAGTCCCCGCGGTGTCATGTGTTCAAGGGGAGATAATCCAGGATGGCCTGTGATCAAGGGTCAACTGAACGGCCATGTTTATTTTACGAATGAATGGAGCAAAACAACAATACGGGCTGAAAACAGTCGTGCGTGGTGCTAGTATGTCTCTCATAGCGTAAACAAAAGCCAGCTTAACTCTTGAATGATTAGCCAGGCTTTGGTTCTCTCTCGGCGTTTACATATAACATGTATTTATTTATATATCCCCTTATATTCATATATCACAGCACACACATAGGTATGCTGGTACCATGGTACTTCCGACAAAGTTCGTAGGCAACAAATGGCTACCCGCGTATCAGAGGATATAGACACAAGTACATGTAGTTAAATTCGAGTGTGCAGTCAAACATATTAAAATATAAAACAAAACAAAGAGTTCACCACGTTTTCTGCATATTTCATTTATATCAATATACTCCTTTAAAAAAATACAGTTTTGTGTTTTGTAATTTTGTGTTCTTATAATTCAGCTTAATTTCACACAATGACACAATCGTTTTAAAGGAGATATGAGTACTATAACTGTCGTCCCTATAAAGATGTAATCACTTGTCTTGCCCGCCGTGATGTTGCTGGGATGTTGCTAAAAGCGGCGTAAAACTAAACTCACTCACTCACACTGTTATAGCACGAACAACAAAACTATTAAAATGTCCTATTCAGCATACTGATTGGAAAAGATTTATCGATATGATTTGGTCTTGACATCGTTTCAGGCCACCATGAAACAATGATTCAATATGCGGACGCTTACTTTGTGTAAAATACTCATGCCAATAATGGTTGTCACCCCCTCCCCACCCCCACAACCCCCACACCCACACCCCACCCACACCCCCTCTCCAATTAAAAAAATTGAAGGGGGTGACAACTATTATTGGCATGAGTATATGTACATAAACTTTGTTTGCTGTGTAACGACGCACTCAGCAATATTCCAGCTATATGGTGGCGGTCTGTAAATAATCGAATCTGGACCAGACAATCCAGTGACCAACAGCATGAACATCGATCTACACAATTGGAATACGATGACATGTGTCAATCAAGTCAGCGAGCCTGTCCACCCCATCCCGGTAGTCGCGAGTGAGTTTAGTTTTACGCCGCACTCAACAATATTCCAGCTATATAGCGGCAGTCTGTAAATAATAGAGTCTGGACCAGACAATCCAGTGATCAACAACATGAGCATCGATGTATGGGATATGATGACATGTGTCAATCAAGTCAGCGAGCCCGTTAGTCGCCTCTTACGACAAGCATTAGCAGATAGAATACTTATGTAGGCATATACGCCTATAACCACTTGCCAGATCATATCAGCGGTTATTGAAAATGAAATTCAAGATGTCTCCACTAATATAAAACTTATTAAGCATTCTCCTTGTGCGAAAAGCGGCCAGTTAGCCTTCTGGATTAACACACACGACATGGGTTCGACTCCCCACATTGATACACTTGGTAGTAATGGTGTTCCCAGCCGTGATATTGACGGAATATCGTCATAAGAAAGCGGCTTAAAACTCTTTTCACTCTTCATATGCTTTTACATGGTAAAGATGGTGTTCCCCGCAGTGATATTGACGGGATATTGTCACACGAAAGCGGCTGAAAAAAACTTTTCACTCTTCATATGTTTTTACAAGGGAAAAATGGTGTTCCCCGCCGTGGTATTGACGGAATATTGCCATACGAAAGCGGCTTAAAATTCGTTTTACTCTTCATATGTGTTGCATGGTAAAATGGTGTTCCCCGCCGTGATATTAACGGGATATTGTCATAAGAAAGCGCATTAAACTCTTTTCACCCTTCATATGTTTTTACATGATAAACATACTGTTCCCCGCAGTGATATTGACGGGAAATTGTCACACGAAAGCGGCTGAAAACTCTTTTCACTCTTCATATGCTTGTCAACCACCACACATCTACACATTTAATATGCCCGCGTCTGAACGAAGTCATTCACCGACAGAGAAACGAGGTCGCTGACTTCCAGCACCATTTAGCCACATTTGTGAACTTACAAAACGACAATAAAAACAGTGACAAGCATATATGAGTTTATAGCCTCCACCGAGAATATAATGAGGCACACAGACCCTTTTATCACTCTGCGTATCTGTCAACAAAACAATCTTCAATCGACGCTTTTTGCCTCGTTGGCTTCTCACATTCAAAGTTACGTGACGTTTGACTTGGACCACAACTGGAGGTGCGAGTTCAATACACACTGCCCTATATATTAAAAGTTAACTTCAAATTAATCTTGTATATAGGAACATTGGTCCTGTGTGGTGTTGCTATTCTATGTATCGTCAATGCAAATGTAAATGGTGGTATTCATTCCATACAAATGGATTCCTTTTCAGTGTGTCTCCTTTGAGTGTATACTAGGGGTGGTTACGGGTTATTGTAAGACTGACGCTTTAACGGGACACGGTTTAAGGTACGGGTCGCCAAGATGTACAATTGCAACGCAACGAGATTTGGATTACTTATTTGTTGAACTCACGGTTACAGGTAATTATAACGTTTTTGAATCGATCTGTTGATTACACAGCCAGGCTCTTCGTTTTTCCTATAAATGGATGTTTCTTCGTCCTTAATTGCCAGGTAATAGGACGTGTGTGGGCTAACGGAGTGTACTGGTCTGAGTGAAGCATGCGTTCAACGATGGGGAAAGGTCTATGGATATACATTCACTTCTTTATTATTAATGTAAGCGACCTTCCCGGTGGTGTAGCTGCTAACGCCGTTATCAAACAAGTTGTATATCCATGGAACTTTCTACATGTCAATCAGAGTAGTAAGCATGTATTTACTGTCCCGATTGGTTTCAAAACGTTCACATAACGTTTTACATTGTTTTTGGGTGTAAAATCAACTATAAAGCATCTCATATTATTTTGCAGGCAAATGTATGTCACATGGACCTGTTTTCTGACGAACATACATGTATTAATGTTTGATGTTTCTTAATTTATATAATTTAAAGCAAACCATCGGTCACGTTAAGAAAGTGAGTGAGTGGAGTGAGTTTAGATTTACGCCACATTCAGAAATAATGAATTTATGGAAAGAGAGAGAGAGAGAGAGAGAGAGAGAGAGAGAGAGAGAGAGAGAAAGAGAGAGAGAGATGGTATTATTAGATGGATAGCGAGAGAGAGAGATGGTATTATAAGATGGATAACGAGAGAGAGAGATGGTATTATAAGATGGATAACGAGAGAGAGAGAGATGGTATTATAAGATGGATAACGAGAGAGAGAGAGATGGTATTATAAGATGGATAGAGAGAGAGATTATAAGATGGATAACGAGAGAGAGAGATGGTATTATAAGATGGATTATAAGATGGATAAAGAGAGAGAGAGAGAGATGGTATTATACTATAAGATGGATAACGAGGAGAGGAGAGAGAGACAAAGATGGTATTATAAGATGGATAACGAGAGAGAGAGATGGTATTATAAGATGGATAACGAGAGAGATAGAGATGGTATATATAACGAGAGGGCATTATAAGATGGAGCGTGTGAGATGTGAGGAGAGAGATATGGTATTATAAGATGGATAACGAGAGAGAGAGGCCGTGTGCTACTACATTATTACTATGTTTTGGTAATTGCAGTACCTACGATCACTATGGCAACTACTGCTGTCTGGGATTACAACCGCTTCTGCCTGGATCTGATTCCCCAACCAAAGAAAGTCTACAACATCAAATACATAAATATAGAGTTACCTCCCCCTCCATCCCGCGCACACATCGAAACATGTGACTATGACGACCAGTTTGAGGACACAGACGAAGAGGATCTGTCGTTTTCTGATGACGACGAAGAAACAAGTCATATTCCTGAGCGGTCACTTACAGCATCAAGGGCACAAACCACCCAAACACCGAGCCGAGGCCTTGTAACGGCTATTGGAGACTGTCTCCTGTTGTCGTCCTCAGAATATCTCAGGAACACCTATAGTCCGGACGGGATTAGATGGACCACCAGCGCCAAGGGTAGACGATCCAAATCATGTGATCCAAAACTACGGTCTTTCTGTTCCTCCTCTGCAAAATCACCTCGTTTTAAACTATCTTTTCTTTCAAAAGACGGGAGGGTCCACGAAACTAACCCATCAGAAACAGGTGTGAAGTTGCCAGAATGTGAGACGTCGAAGACGCCGGTTAATCTTCATCCCCACTCAATGGACGATGTCATGATGGCTACTGACAGAGTTTGGGGCTGCAGACAACCGACCTCACACCACACGAGTCAGACGGGCCCAGTCCAGACGACGGTCATCTAACGGTCGACGGCCACACACTGTGGCTCCGGATGTACCAACCGGCAAGGGCAGTCTCGCAACATCTGCATACGTGTCTCGCAGGATGAGGTATCTTCTGGACTCCAGAGCGTCCATCTGCCCGAATGTCCTGACCAATGAGATCCTGCCGTTGTATCAGGGCGATGGTGACGTTGCACCTATAGATCTACTCGACGGCGAAGGGGAGGAAGGCGATGGCTTGCTGACCGGTAGAAAGTGTAGAAGGTTCAGAAAGAGAGTTCTCAACTATATAAGACAACGAAGAGTTTTACAGTCATTTGAGAAGAAGCCTAAAACAGATGTGAGTGTGCTATATCTTTTTTAGTTAAGACATTGATGTGCTTTTCAGAGCTTACACACTAGGAGGGCGGTGAGTAGCCTGGCCGCTCGTCACGCCTTAGACCCGGGTTCGATTCCCCATATGGGTTCAGTGTGTGAAGCCCATTTCTGGTGATTCCCGCCGTGATATTGCTGGAATATTGCTAAAAGCGGCGTAAAACCAACTCACTCACTCTCTATACAGGAGGGTGCTGATACACTGACGTTTTTAGCGAAGAAGTATTTATGGCGCCGTAAACACTAATCAGTCAAATATGTCGTAAGCAAATGTGCCCTTAAATATATTTGAAACTGGATGAATATAAGGATATAGAATCACTTCTGGTAACAATAATCCGCGACAACTACATTTCAGTTATCCATTCTACAATTGGTTGTTTCCTTCTTTACATAGGCTTACCGGAAGTTCAGAATGGTGGGAAGCATCGTCACGACCCTTGTGCACATGCTCAAAGCTATCTCGGCCAACACCGATAGCCTCACCACGAAGTCTGCAGCTGAAATACAATGGCAGGCTCTGTACAGCGACAAAGATCCACATAAACTGGCCTTCAACGTATCGGTATTCACAAGAGAGCGGGTAAACACAATGTTGTGGAGTAGTGTACAACCCGGGGTTATAGAAAACTCACTCTTAGGAACAGTTTCAAATCATGAATAAGCTGCTTAATTAGGTCCTAACTGCACCTAATCTGTGAAGATCCGGGTTAAAATACGTGTCCAGCAACCCATGCTTGTCGTAAGAGGCGACTAACGGGATCGGGTGCGGTGTTTGCAATACTTTAATTTGCCAGTTGGCCATCAGGGCCTGCTGTCGCCTGCAGGCGTTAAAATCTACAGGCCCTGAATAAAATCTGCAGGCACAATTTGTTGAAGTCAAACCAAAATAGACTACAGTGTAATCAGTTTCACACTACATGTATTTCTGCAAAATCAATTAGCGAAGCCTATGGCGCAGAGAGGTTTTTTTTGTTGAAGACTGGTGCTGATATTCACATGAGCAAAGCGCTGAAATACCAGGAAGTGAAACTGTAATCTATCGTAACATAGTGGATAATGGATGATTCCGGAACGTTAATAAAGAAAAAATTATGGGAAAGATTAAAGTTGAAAAAACCCCAGATAATTTAGTGAAGGCCACAAGGGCCTGCAAATATTTGAAACTGCCGGCCCGATACAATAACATTGTCGGCGATTATTTCGAACGCTGATCGGGTGGTCAGGTTGACTTGGTTGATCACTGGATATTCTGGCCCAGACTCGATTATTTACAGACCGCCGCTATACAGGTGGAATATTGTTGAGTGTGGGTTTAAACAATAAACAAACAAACGATATGTCATAATGGAACCGAAATATTGTTCAAAGTGGCAGTGACCTCGGTCAGCTCTACCGTGTTCACCAGTAACTATTTGGGTTGCTGCATTATGTGCATCAGTCCCACGATAGTCTTGAGTCAGTATGTGCAAAGGTATCTCAATTGTCAGCCGGTTTTCTTCAACACGTTCAGGCCATCGAGAAACTACCCATGTGGTCGATAGACATCCTACAGAAGAACCCGGAAGTGAGAGATGATATCGACTGTCGCAAGCTCCACACACTGTTAAAGGGAATGAGGAGCTTTGACAAGTTCACGGAGAAAATCCAAAATTCTCTGTGCAAGACATTTTCCTACATGTGGTAAGTGACATTAGTGAATGGTTTCATATTCTTTCGTATTATATTATTCCGTTCGAAGAATGTTCCAGGTATATGATCATGACTTCGGTCTGACCAAACTTGATGTTATGAGAAATATGTCCTCATATTACAAGACTCGCGATCAACCAAGTGATCGAACCTGACTGATCGAATCTGTCTGCTTACACGAGGCCTATTCGAACTTGGAATCTCTCTCGAGGAAATATTTTCTGTTTTATCACTTTTGACCATACACGACCAAGGGGAGACAGGATTGTAGGGCTATCTAATGATCGATAATCGGAAATATTATTCATGTTTATTGATATAAAAATTGTGTAACCGATAATATCGTATTTCAACTTTTGTGGTAGTAAAAAAAATTTAATTTCCTCATACAATACACAAATTTAGGACTTTATTCGTGGTCTGCTTCTAAATTATGTTCAGACGCTGTTTTGTTATTACCCATGGAAAAACATGTCACCACTCACCAGTGATGTGAAATATACCGAGGCAAACAAATAAGGGATCACCACTTCATGGCAGTGTTCCTCTATTTATTCTCAGATTTCCTCCCACGGCGCTATTCAAAGCTGGTGATGAAAACTGGAAAATATGAAAGGAATACTGTGTTCCTTTATTTGTTTCTCTCGTATTTATTCATCTCTTTCAGGCATGTGGTATTTTTTTCAAAGTTACGTCTCCGATATTGATTAATAATCGATCTCTATTATATATATCGATGGTCAGCCCTACAGGACTGTCTCTTCGGGTAGACTGACTGACTGAGTTTGGTTTTACGCCGCTTTTAGCAATATTCCAGCAACATCACGGCGGGGGACACCAGAAATGGGCTTCACTCATTGTACCCATGTGGGGATTCGAACCCGGGTCTTCGGCGTGACAGAGCCAACGCTTTAACCACTAGACTACCCCACCGCCCCTCTTCGGATAGAAGAAATAGTTGTTACAGTGCTACAAACCCCCATTGTTTTTACCATTGTGATCAAAGTGCTTCAGTTTTATCATGCTAACATCATTTACTTACTTGTTCGTAGATCAAATGAAATCAATACTGACTGACTGACTGAGTTTGGTTTTACGCCGCTTTGAGCAATATTCCAGCAACATCACGGCGGGGACACCAGAAATGGGCTTCACTCATTGTACCCATGTGGGGATTCGAACCCGGGTTTTCTGCGTGACGAGCCAACGCTTTAACCAATAGGCTACCCCACCGCCCAATGAAATCAATAAGTTGTACATGTCTTAACAAATAAAAGGCTAACTTATTTTCTTTAGTATATTTTCACTTCTCGCAAAATATTCAGGCATATTTTTATTTAGTTTCCAGGAGGGCCGTGTGATAATCAGACAAGGTCACGTAGGACAGAACTTCTACCTCATCTATTCCGGGTCTGTGTTTGTCAACGTCATGGAGACGGGCACTAATGGAAAGTTGTTCGTCAAGAACGAAGCCGTGTTGACTAAAGGCGATTCATTTGGGGTCAGTAGTTAGGGTCAACGTTTGGAAGTATATTCGTAATGACAAACCCGATAGTGCATGCAATAGAGATAATTTTACAGATCTTCAAGTATGGTTTTACACCACCTTTAACGATACTCCAGCAATATAAGGACGGGAGACACAGAAATGGACTTCACACATTGTACTCATTTGGAGCATCGAACTAGGATCTTCAGCGTGACTAGCGAACGCTTTAGCCACTAGGATACCCCACCGCCGTCTAAGCATTATGTTTAAATCACACAATGATATCTCAGTCGTCCTATAAATAAAACTCTACATTTCCTAATGATATGCAGCGTATTTGAATAATCCTGAATCCATAATCTTCATGATTCCACTACGGCACTGACCATGAAAATGTCTTGATTCAGGTCTTGACCATCAAAAACCAGGGGATGACAACCTCAACACCGACCGGGATCTAATACCGTTGCCATGTTACAAATTCTAGGTACTTATTCAGTCCGATCCGTGAAGATCCGGCTTAGAATTGGTCTTCAGCAACCCATGCTTGTCGTATGAGGCGACTAACGGGATCGGGTGGTCAGGTTCAATGACCTGGTTGACGCACGTCATCGTAACCCAATTGCGTAGCTCGATGCTCATGCTGTTGATCACTGTATTGTCTGGTCCACAGGCACCATATTTATAGCTGTAATAGCAATTTGCTGAGTGTGAGGTTAAACAACAAGCAAACTAAACCTAGTCAGTTCACGGCGGTATCCTGTTTTGAAACTATGCGAGTGTTTAAGTGTCATTTGCTCGTATCTTCCAGGAACTGGCCCTCCTCCAAGACATCCGGCGTACTGCAACCATCGTTGTCAGGGAAACCTGTGAGCTGCTGGTGGTCGAGAAGAATGTCTTCTCGCACGTGTGTCCGAGAATCTTCGAGATTGAGCTTGAAGAGAAAGAGCAGATTATGAAGTGAGTGACCTCGAAACATGACAACAGACTTCCAGTGGACATGTTGATATTCGCCGTCAAGGCTCGAATTTCCGACATGGTGTTCGTGTCTCTTCGTAACACGTGACACATTGACATATTCATTGTATATTTGAATGGTATTTTTTTCGGGAACTGTTAATGTCACGTTTGGTGATAAAATGTTATCTTAATATTGACAAATCATTGATCGTAATACGGATATAACATTGATAGATATATTTATAGAATATTGATTATGGAATCACGGGAACATCGATATTGCATAGAATATACATCGTGACACTCATCGAATGGGATATTGATCGTGATATTACAGAAATATCGATTGTGCTATTGTTGGAATATTGATCACGATATTGATAGAAGATCATGATGTTGATAGAACGTTGATCGTGATATTGTAGGAATATTGATCTTGGTATTGATCGAATATTGAATATGATATTGCCAGACTATTGATCTTGATATTGATAGAATATTGATCAATGACATAATATATACTATGACATGATATATTTATAGAACGTTGCTTAAAGCGGCAAAGCACTATCTGCTATTGGTCTGATACTTCGTGGAAGACTCACCGTCCTTTGCATTCGTATTTCCAGGAAACTGCATCTATTCAACCCCAAGTGGTGGAGCGAAAGTGCCAAGAGGAACCTCGCCCTGACTGCCCAGATACAAGACGTGAGTCGGGACGTATACTTGTTACGTTTGTGTCTTTGTTTTCACAAAACGTTTAAGTATGGGGGTAGCGAATGTGGGTTGGGTAGCCCAGTGGTTAAAGTGTTCGCTCGTCACGCTGAAGACCCGGGTTCCATTCCCATCACAGTATAGTCTTTATTCATGTGAATGTAGGCCATCGGCCCATGGTACAACGTTATACACTGGCAGCCTTCAAGCTGCAGCGACGACGATTGTTAGCATGGAAGATGAACATGGCAAGATTTCTTAAAACAAGAGGAGTAGCATTACTCATCAGTCGATTAAATTTACACAAGGTTGGATGGGTGAAAACATCGACAGGGTTAAAACGTTTACGTAGATCATCATAGGCAGTACAAATCAGTAAAAAGTGGTACTCATTTTCTACATAGTTACAGGAACACATTTCACACAATCTTGAGTTTTGGGGTTTCTTTATATATCTACCAGTTTCTATATAATAATACTGCTCGCCCGTTAACAAATAGACGAACGTCATTGTATTATCAGATGTGCATTAACAGATACAAAAACATTCACATTCAAAAACATACACACAATGTATATATTGTATAAAGTATATGACTTTGGAGACATACATACTATAACATTTAATTCAACATTTATATATACGTTTTAGAAGAAAACATTTATGTATGTGCTTGTATCTGTTAATGTACAACATCTGTTAATGCAATCAATTTCTCCTGGCTTACCTGTCCGCCATCTGTTGATACCTGTCAGTGACAACAGAGACAGCTCCCAGCAAGGGGTCCGGTAATTACTTGGAAACAGGGGCGACGGGTTAGCCTAGAGGTTAAAACGTTCGATCGTCACTCCGCAGACCCGGGTTCGATTCCCCACATAGATACAATGTGTGAAGCCCATTTCTGGTGTCCTCGAGATATTGCTGGAATATTCCAGAAAGCGGCATAAAACTAAACTCATATCACTCCGATCCACCTTTGATGCCTTATAGCTGCTTCATATGATGTACAACTCGACTGAATATTCCAGAAAGCAGAAGCACCACCTCACTCTACTTAGCTGTTTCATATGTACCTCAACGTCCATATACTCTTTGAAAATATTTTCACGCAGCAAAGAAAGCTCAGACATCTAAGATAACTATTGCATGAAACAGAAACATAGCATTCAATTAAATATTATTATTCGTTTGCTGTATATGTACAATATATAACATATATGTATGTTATACAAAACAAACGTTTCTGAAATGAAAATATATATAGGTACGATATAAAAATGGCCATTCCCTATAGAAACATATGTTTAGCTGTGCATAATATTTTCAGGGTGAATGTAGAGAGTGAAAGTCATCGAATATTACGCTTCAATGGGCTGACGTGACAGCGCACCATCATTGACCATGTTTGTATTAGTGGTATATATAACTCCACATCTAATTGTGTTTTCAGTACAAGACTAATAAAGTCATTGTACCCGACAGTGTGAGAGAAGAGTGGATCTACGTCTGTATTGAGGTAAGTACAGTCCTCTTTTTTTGTTTGCTTGTTGTTTAACGCCGCACTCAGCAATACTCAAGCTAAATGGCGGCAGTCTGTAAATAATCGAGTCCGGTCCAGACAATCCAGAGACCAACAGCATGTCCAACTGTCTACACAGTTGGGATACAATGGCATATTCGACCAAGTCCCGAGTCTGACCAAACAATCCAGTGATCATGAGCGTCAACTGAAGCACTCGACAGTTTCTCCTTTTAACATATTTTAACCTGTTTTAAACTATTATAATGATGATGATGGTTTGCTTGAAATAGTCCAGGAGGAGGCAGCTGAAAAATTTCAAATCGTAGCCTCCCCAGTACTGATTTTGTTTGACACTATTTTCAGTTAGTATGATGTCTTGGGCTCATGAAAAGGCCTGTAATACTCTCAGATTGTGGTATCAGGTTTTTTTACAGGCCATTATATGTGGTGGGGGTCTGCGAGCATTTTCGTCACATTTGGTTTGCTGCCCGACAACACCTCAAAGTTAATCATTAATAGTTTTACTACTATCAATCTGATCACTTTCATTTTGACTTCTGTGTACTGCTAAAGGATGTAGAAATTATTTGACATAATTTTGTTTTGAAAAAATCAAAATGGCCGCCATTATTTTGCCATTTTGTTTTGTCGTGTTTTGCCTTCTCAGCACTTAAATTTACATAAAAATGAACACCGAATGTTTCCATTTACATCCAAAGTTGATACTTTTGATGTGTTTTGACACTTGTTTCTCCTAGAGTGATGGCTTGGGCACAAAACAAGTCATTTTGTATGGTCATAGCATGGTAATTTAATGTTTTACAGCTTATTCTTTGAGACAGGGTATTTTTAGCATTTCTCCGACTTTTCATGGAAATGTGTGAGAGTGATTTATTTAATGGCAGTTAACATTATTTTTTGTTACTAAAACAAGTTGTTTTGTTTTCTCTTTTACTTCTAGAGTGACGGCATGTTATTAGGAATGTTTACATATTACCCAGAATTCAAAATGGCCGCCAAAATGGCCGCCATTGTAGTTTAACTACATATACTTAGTGGAGGACTAAATTTGTACTGATATGAAATCCAAACAACTCATTTGGTGTCTAATGTTTAATACAGTATAGGAATAGAGCTAAATTTCAATGATAGGGTCAATCAAAGCTTCACACTCCTAAAATATTTGATGAAATAACATTATCCAAAAGTGTTTGAAAACTATGCTTCATGGCCGATAACTACGTCTAAGCTTTGGTTGTAGGTATTCAAATTGTTCTATCAGATAACTCTTAATCACTTTTGATACATCCATAAGCTTGCAATTAACCCTCCTTTTCACTTTCTTTCATTTCATATGTTACTTCATGTCAGAATCGGACCTGTGAAGATCCGGGTTAGAATTGACCTTCAATAACCCATGCTTGTCGTAAGAGGCGACTAACGGGATCTGGTTGTCAGGCTCGCTGACTGGGTTGACACATGTCATCGTATCTCAATTGCACAGATTGATGTTCATGCTGTTGATCCCTGGATTGTCTGGTCCAGACACGATTATTTACAGACTGCCGCCATATAGCTGGAATATTGCTGAATGCAGTGTAAAACTAAACTCACTCACTCACTCATGTCAGAATCGGAGTCATCTACTGGCAACAAGTCAAATGTGTTCGGGCAACAATCATCTGCCATACAAAAAGACATGCCTATGTGCACACTATATCATTCTTTCTGCTGGCATGCTGACTTTTTGCATTTACACGATGTCAGTTCAACCAATCCACGGGGAGCAGGATCTCTCGACATCAGAATAGGATAAGCTGACCATCACAAATGCTCCAACCATGGTCAACTGGTGAAGGAATGTTCATGATTGGTTGCAGAGACTGTTTCCAAACATGGACTTGGTAGTTTACTCTTTCAATGTGATGTTTTAGACTGTTGGATGTTGGTGGGAGGTTTTCATTCAATATCTTGTGTCATCTACAGACATCACTGGATTATTTGGTACATGCATAGAACTCAGAAACTGGCCACAAGATATAATGAGTGTTTCTTGAACATCCAAATTGTCATCCATTTGTTGTGTGAAGCTTCTCATCCCTGGGCTTTACAGCCTTTTGTGGAATCAATGTAGAAAAGGTTTTCAGGTTCAGACGTTGTAAAGGTGACCACAAGTTTGTCCTGGAAGAGTTCAATCGACTACCTATGATGTTATCCCTTTGCTCTGCCCCAATCTGTTTAACATGGTTGGAGCATTTGTGATGGTCAGCTTATCCTATTCTGATGTCGAGAGATCCTGCTCCCCGTGGATTGGTTGAACTGACATCGTGTAAATGCAAAAAGTCAGCATGCCAGCAGAAAGAATGATATAGTGTGCACATAGGCATGTCTTTTTGTATGGCAGATGATTGTTGCCCGAACACATTTGACTTGTTGCCAGTAGATGACTCCGATTCTGACATGATTGAGTGAGTGAGTTTAGTTTTACACTGCATTCAGCAATATTCCATCTATATGGCGACAGTCTGTAAATAATCGTGTCTGGACCAGACAACCCAGGGATCAACAGCATGAACATCAATCTGTGCAATTGAGATACGATGACATGTGTCAACCCAGTCAGCGAGCCTGACAACGTTACCAGATCCCGTCAGTTGCCTCTTACGACAAGCATGGGTTATTGAAGATCAATTCTAACCCGGATCTCTGCAGGTCCGATTGTGACATGAAGTAACATATGAAATGAAAGAAAGTGAAAAAGAGGGTTAATTGCAAGCTTATGGATGTATCAAAAGTGATTAAGAGTTATCTGATAGAACAATTTGAATGCCTAAAACCAAAGCTTAGACTTAGTTATCGGCCATGCAGCATAGTTTTCAAACACTTTTGGATAATGTTATTTCATCAAATATTTTAGGAGTGTGAAGCTTTGATTGACCCTATCATTGAAATTTAGCTCTATTCCTATACTGTATTCAACATTAGACACTAAATGATTTGTTTGGATTTCATATCAGTACAAATTTAGTCCTCCACTAAGTATATGTAGTTAAACTACAATGGCGGCCATTTTATGGCCATTTTGAATTCTGGGTAATATGTAAACATTCCTAATAACATGCCTGTCACTCTAGAAGTAAAGAGAAAAACCAAAACAACTTGTTTTAGTAACAAAATAATGTTAACTGCCATTAAATAAATCACTCTGACACATTTCCATGAAAAAGTCTGAGAAATGCCAAAATACCCCCTGTCTCAAAGAATAAGCTGTAGATCATTAAATTACCATGCTATGACCATACAAAATGACTTGTTTTGTGCCCAAGCCATCATTCTAGGAGAAACAAGTGTCAAAACACATCAAAAGTATCAACTTTGGATGTAAATGGAAACATTCGGTGTTCATTTTATGTAGATTTAAGTGCTTGAGAAGGCAAAACACGACAAAACAAAATGGCGGCCATAATGGCGGCCATTTTGATTTTTTTTACAATACAAAATTATGTCAAATAATTTCTACATCCTTTAGCAGTACACAGAAGTCAAAATGAAAGCGATCAGATTGATAGTAGTAAAACTATTAATGATTAACTTTGAGGTGTTGTCGGGCAGCAAACCAAATGTGACGAAAATGCCCCCAGACCCCCACCACATATAATGGCCTGTAAAAAAGACCTGATACCACAATCTGAGAGTATTACAGGCCTTTTCATGAGCCCAAGACATCATACTAACTGAAAATAGTGTCAAACAAAATCAGTACTGGGGAGGCTACGAAATCCTATTTCTAGGCCCCTTTTGAGATTCTCCTCCTGGACTAAAGTAACATTTGCTTGGTCAGGTCAAGCATATTCGGCACCAACTCGTAGATCTTTCTGTGACTTGGTTTCGTCTAAGTGTAAACGGACATAGCTATAAGTAAAGGACTGCTTCCAGCATTTTAGTCTGTCATACAAACCCTGAAGCAAATATATCCAAGAAATCCCACGCACGTCTAGAAAATGTGGCAAGTCTAGATTTTCTGAAAATAAATAAAGTTTCAGGGCTCCTTTTTATTATATTTTGATTTTTCCACTATGAGCCTTTTTTCAGTAAAATATGTTCATTTCAGAGACTAGTTGTTAGTCTACCAGCATTTGTATGACCACAGTACTTGAATTCATGAGCGCTCACTGATTAGGTTAACATAATTTCGCACATATATGTGAAGCTAATCGAGTCCTGTTGTTGGTTACGGAAAGGGTCGAGTGGTAACGGAGGAGGCATGTCGGTTTTCGTATCTCACTATTCATGTCCCTGAAACTAGTTTACAAATTACCTGTAATAATGATAAAATACCCTTCTCTTGAGCTTCCAAGCCCAAGAGACTAAAAGGTTCAGATGGCGGGGTCTAATGGCCGCCCGCCTTGTCCGGGCTTTTGATGGAACCTGGTCGTGGGTTCAGGGGCGCGAAACCGAAGAACATTCACTTAAAACGATGTATTCGAAATATTTGTTTGATTTTTAGTGTTGAAAATCGGCATGCTAAAGCTTGGCTTGAGATTAATCAGTTTGTCGTGAGATCGAGTCCCACGCAAGCCAAAGGCGTGAGAGCTGGTAGGTATGCTTCATACGGCTATAAAACGGAGATGTGAAATGTATTTCCTCTTATACACGTAGGGTTTAAGCAAATGAAACTCTGACTGGATTACTATACAATGTGTTATTTTAAACATCTCTAGGGGAATTGTCAAGTAATCCGATGTCTCGAGATGGACAAGAAAGAGGAGTTATCTGCCCTTGCCATCAGACGCCGATCGACTGTTTTGCTGTCGGACGAAATTTTGGACCTGCTCGGCAGTTTCCCGGAATCCAAATCAGGTAAATGTGTGACTGAAGATAGCAGTTCTGATCTAGATACGGTGAACTACGCGTACGGTTATAACGACTGACTGACTGACTGACTGAGTTTGGTTTTACGCCGCTTTTAGCAATATTCCAGCAACATAAAGGCGGGGGACACCAGAAATGGGCTTCACACATTGTACCCATATGGGTATTCGAACCCGGGTCTAAGGCGTGACGAGCCAACGCTTTAACCATTAGGGTACCCCACCGCCCCGTACGGTTATAACGAACTTCTGGGGATCACTAAATTTACTTCGTTATATCCGTCAGGTCGTTATAAACGAGTTCGTTATAAACGTAGTTTATTGTACATCAATTTACGCTCTGTCAACACTGCCAATGTCACAAAGGCTCGTCCTAACAACTTACGTTTCAATAGGGACACCTTGTTAATCCGTACAGAACCATTCTCAATGAAATCGCAAGAATTGAAATATTTCCTAATTCAGTAATCTTATGTTCCCGTTACTCACGGAATCGTTCCGGAGGGAGAGAGGTGATGTGTACCGAATTTGCGGGTTTTCGTATTGACTGTCCGGCCAAAAGAAGTAAACACTTTAATGTCTATTTCACACTGTAGCGCTGGCTCTGCAAAGACACGGAACCAGACTGCGGGTATGATATTATATCATAAGCTCGCAGAAGTTTGGCCTTGTGACGTTTTGATACCGTTTCAATTTTCTGGGTGAAATAAAATTTTCGAGTTTATACATTCTATAGCGTGGCAGTGTGTTATCATCGTTGTGTTATCATCGATAGAGCTGGAATATTGCCAATGCGACGCTCAATATTCTCTCACTGACTTTTATTTGGTATTTTCCGCCAGTTCAAGAGAAGACAAGGCGCCAGTCTAAAATGCAGGGACCAAGCTCGACGAAGGAGAAACTGCTGGGCTCGCTCGGTCTCGACTATGTCGACACAGGGAGGGTAAATATTTTTCTTCGATGAGAAACATATAACTGCTTCATAGAACTATACTTCTGTTTCCTGCTTCGCAATCTAAAACATGAGTGCATCGATATCTGTATTCATGTATTAAGGAGAGGGCATCAAAGTTGGACACGTTTTGCCATTTATGTCAATAAAATGTTTAAAAAGACAACAAACGTGTAGTCAAGGACAGACCAATTAACGTCCGTCGTTATTTCCCCAATTTTAGAACCAGAGGTTGATCAAGAATATAATGTTGAAAGCATATAACTCTGTCATTGTTGGATTATATTCACATCATCTAAGTGGATAAGGATAGGCTTTTGTGTTTTAACTATATATCATTCTTTCAAAAAACAAACAAACTACAAACAAATGCTAATGTTTCAAAATCTCTGCAGGGGATGGGTAGCCTAGTGGTTAAAGCGTTCGCTCGTCACGCCGAAGACCCGGGTTCGATTCCCACATGGGTACAATGTGTGAAGCCCATTTCCGGTGTCCCCCGCCGTGATATTGTTGGAATATTGCTAAAAGCTGCGTAAAACTCAACTCACTCACTCACTCACTCACTCAAAGCTCTGGAAAAAAGAAAGCCCCAGTCGACGTGATGTTTCCTCAGGCCACCACAGCAGCGTTGGAAGTGTTAGAAGCGCCACATAAATATTTCCTGTTTGTTGGTTCATTCACGGACACGGATCTTGAACCTAACACCACACACCATATTATTGTATCGGTATTGATCGCAAATTCAGTTACCTTTCTTCAGCTATCTGAGGAAGATTTTAATGGTATCTCAAACAAAAATACCTGAGTGACGTTGTGCAAAGCAACCTTAGCGCTACGCCAGTCGTAAGTCTATGTTAAGGTATGGGAGTTACGATCACCTTAGCGCTACGCCAGTCGTAAGTCTATGTTAAGGTATGGGAGTTACGATCACCTTAGCGCTACGCTTGCTTTGTACAACGGCACCCAGGATATTAGAACAGCACCATGACATCAATGGTCTCACGGACAGCCTATTTACTTTTTGATAAAAACCTAGGGCGGTGGGGCAGCGTAGTGGTTAAAGCGTTTGCCCGTCACACCGCAGGCCCGGGTCCCTTCCCAACCTATAAACAATGTATGAAGTTATGGCGGTGGGGTAGCCTAGTGGTGAAAGCGTCCGCTCGTCACGCCGAAGACCCGGGTTCGATTCCCACATGGGTACAATATGTGAAGCCCATTTCCGGTGTCCCCCGCCGTGATATTGCTGGAATATTGCTAAAAGCAGCATAAAGCCATACTCACTCACTCCCTGTATGGAGCTAATTCTTTCTGTTTCCCGCCGTGATGTTGCTGGACTGCGGCGTAAAACACACCCTACTTACTCCCTAATAGATCACAATCTCGGCGTCGATTTCGGCTTTTGTTCTAAATAGTTAGTACCAGTTACTCCATGTTCTCTGATGAAGAGCACACCTCTTGGCATCCAGCACACAGACCATGTACTTACTGCTACCATTTCAAAATGTAGAATGGGTTAGAATGAATCTTCAGTAACCCATGACCGGGATGGGTGGTCAGGCTCGCTGGCTTGGTTGACACATGTCATCGGTGCGCAGGTCGATGCTCATGCTGTTGATCACTGGATGTTCTGGTCCAGACTCGATTATTTACAGACCGCCGCCATATAGCTGGAATATTGCTGAGTGCAGCGTAAAACTAAACTCACTCACTCACTCAAAATGTATCCAAACAATGTATTTTCTTGTCTATTAACTTTTGTATCAGCATGGTTCTAAGACGTACACACGGTTGTCACTTGTCCAAAATGTTCAAGTCGTACAATAAACGAATTACTGCCATTCAAGTGATGCAATAATAATTGTCATTCGCGTGACTAGATCTGACAACTTTCGTTACGATTTCTGAAAGTTTAATTTGTTAAATCATTAAATTATCAAGTTCAGTCACCTTTGTTTATCCGTCATATTATATCCCTGTTCTGTAAATAGACCTATTTACCATGACAGCTTCGTTTCAGAAACATCAGAACATCCTTCGCTTCTCTCTGTAACTTTGAACAAAATTTATCTCATTCATGAAAGGGATTTGATTGGATGTCTATTCTTCATATCATGTGACCAGAGGAAAATCCAACTTCATATTGGTCTGGGGTTAAACATTCTATTTATCCCGTTTAACGTCGCTCTCAGCAATACTCCAGCTAAATGGCCACGGTCTGTAAATAATGGAGTCTGGATCAGACAAACCAGTGATCAACAGCATGAGCATCGATGGGATACGATGACTTGTGTCAACAAAGTCACAGACCCGATCCCGTTAGTCGCCTCTTACGGCAAGCATGCGTTGCTGAAGACCAATTCTAACCCGAATTTTCACGGGTCTTATCCATAATTTAGATACATTACACTGGATAATTGTGGCACAATGGGCTCTTCTTTGTGTCTTGTCCATTTTCAACATTGATGATGATGCAAATGAACCATGCTCCGATTCCAGAGACAGAAGGCCTTTATCGAGGCCATGGAACAGGTGGAGAAGAAGAAAGCGTTATCAGCTGTGAGAGGTCACATGACCTTGACCTCCTTCATGAAGGACAAACTGGAGAAGACGACATCGGACCTTGTATTCCTACATGTTGCCGTGCTGGACCCTCACGACATATTTGTAAGTACAATACAGGTATTTGATAAGCAGTAACGCCAGTCCCAGGAAACATTCTTTCGCCACGGCAGTCTGTGTTACAAAGCACCTCTTGTCCGAGTATTCTGCTATGGCAAACCTTATCGTCAGCCATTGTTAAAGTATGAGAGCTACGACATGTCGTAGGTGATTGTTATGACGGAAGGATGAAGGATGAACAAGATTCAAAGTCGTAAGACTTCATATGTATCTGATTTAAGACAATCTCAGGTCAGTGTTGCGGGATAAGATGGGGGTAAGTGATATAGACTACGTATAAAAGTTCCGAAATATGAAGGTAATTGTGGTTTGATACTTACGACAATCGTCGACCGGAGGTCAAGTATGGAGGTACGCCATTCGGAGTCGATTGCTACCGGGGCTATAGCAGTCGTAGCACGTAGTTTGGATCACTGGACGCAGCGTTTCCGCTTACTAAATATTAGGGCTGCGCAATATAACCGGTTTACCGGTATTTACCGGTTCAGACGTTAAAACGATACGTATTGCGATACCCTGATCGAACTCCGGTATTTTGACATGCATTCGGAAAACTTCGTAACACTCGGAAATCTTCGGATATATTCCTTGTTTCATTTGTGCCAAATATTATTCACATTTTTTTTTCATTTTTTTTCCTGATTAAAAGGTGTTTTTAAAGCTTAATCAAGCATAGTGATTTTGTTGTGGTTTTGCTTTGTAAATCGATTATAAGTAGTATTTTGTTAAAAAACTAATTCTTGCAATATATTGCAATACATATCGCAATATATACTTTCGCATCCTAAAATATATCGCAATATGAAAATTCTCTGCAATACCCACCCCTACTAAATATGATCATACGAATTCACTCAGTTGAAATATACGTCTTCCGGAGAGCTACACTGCAGCAATGAGTCATAAATAAACTAACCCCAATTTGATCTGAAATCGTTCAGTTTCCTCCATTCATATCAGTTTACACGTTGCTATCTCATCCAATCAAACTACATGTCACGCTGTTCTGACTTTTGATGTCATACTGGTCAAGATTACATGCCAGTTACTCTGGCTTTGTTGGTAACCTGTGGTCAGCGGTGACCACAATCAGCTGATATATTAGTTGTATACACGGCAGATCATAATTAAATCGATGTAAACGAAATTGGCATATTCCCATATTTCACTCAGACGGTCTCGAGGCATCATATTTCTTTGCTACTGTGTCTGAAGTTTTTCGAGGTGACCTATCGTGTCCTTCTCTGTAACACTGCACATAGCGTGTACTCTCTTGGTTTTTAATAGTTTATTGTCTAATACCGAAGTAAGTAATACTACAAACAGTTATATGACAACTGCCTTTAAATAATGGAATCTGGACCATACAATCCAGTGATTGAAAGTATGATCAACGATCAATGCTGTCGGGTAACGATGGCAACCGGTCAGCAATTTCACCGAACCTGTCCACCCTATCCAGTTGTAGGCGTTTATGCCTGCTATCGTTTCTTTCCTCGAACCCCCTCAGTCTACCTGTATATACTACCAAAGACTTTTGCGTGATAATCCGTTTGTAACGTTTCGCACTCTGTGTCATCGTATCCTGTGGCCGTGTTCATGATATTAACCTCAAGGCCTATCTGTCCTGTCAGTTATTGTACTTCTATTTTGGAAAGAAATATACATAATTCCTCGATCAGGTGTTAATTTACTGAGAATTATTTTCTTATCCATGCATCAGGTGAATATGTCCTCATCATTCCATTGAGTGAATATTTATTTCCTTCCCTCCATCGGGTAAATATATATCGCCTTCCCTCCATCGGGTAAATATTTATCTCCTTCCCTCCATCGGGTAAATATAGATCTCCTTCCCTCCATCGGGTAAATATATATCCACATATCTCTAGTTTGTGAATATTTATCCATATCCCAGTATTTGGCAACACTATACAAACAATTACTCTCGGCGAGGTCATTATACGAAACAATTATGACTTCCGGAGCCGTGCCTTGAAGTGGTCTGACCCACGAAGGAGTCCGGGGGCTTCGTTTTTAATACGCTCAGTGACCTCGCCATGGGCCATCAGTGGGTTTGGTCAAAAGAAATTCATTTATAACGTATATAATTTCACCTTTTGCTGTTCCTGTAATTCTTTAACATTGGTTTCAACGAGATCTTCTTCAGAATGATCGGTGAACTGCTCATTGCCACTTGTAAACGCCATTTCTTTTCTATTCACCGAAGTCAATAATGGTCACGTGACGTTAATAACCTGGGCAATTCGAAGATTCCTTCTAGAAAAGCAACAGAAATTCGAGTTTAAAATTCTCAAGGCCCCTTCTTTGATTGCATGGGCGGATCCAGGAATTTTGTAAGGGGGGAGTGTTTTTTCCCCATTGGCTCCGCCAACGCAAAAAAATCTTCAATGTGGTCTTTTCATTTTCAAGGTGTGTGTGTGTGTGTGTTCCGACCCTGGATCCGCCAATGGATTGTGTTTGGCCTTTGTATTTTAACATGGTGCACAGTACATTAATGTCCTCACTCTTTTCAAGCAAACTAAAGCAAGCAAAAAATGTCAAATTTAACCACAATGCGACAACGTGATATGTTGCCCGTTTTTCTCATTGGCGCGACTGAATCCATTGTTTTTCTTTCACCAACGGGCGACAATGTGACTTCGTTCAAGGTTAAATATTATCTCATTGCTGCATTGTCTCCTCGTCCAAAACATGTACAATCAGACGCGTGAAACCGCGATAATGTTCCGTCTGGGATTCCATACTTTTTGGATAATCAATCTAATTATGTTCCCATCAAATTATGTTATTTCATAGAAAGCAAATCCTCGTTATGAGTAGAGCTCCACGCATATGGCCTTGATGTTTGAATAACTTGATAAAACCATAGGCGAGATAGTCGCTCCTTGCGTCACACCCAATTACCACATGTCTGCAACAGGATGATATTTGGCCTCAGAGAATTTGTCTGTAAATACATGCAGATTGTGAAAACATTATCGTGCATATTTCCTCGTGTGGAGAACCTTGGGGACATATCAGGTTGGACAGGGACGAACTATATTTGTTCTGTCGCGTCTGTCCTTAATCATGCTTGAAAGTGCTCAGAGGCTATTTATATGAGAAAACGTGGCTGGTGCAACTTTGCAGACACATTTAACAAAATGAACATTCCAAAGAAGGTCTATAATTATAGGGGGAAAGTTTTTACCTGATTATCTCGAATGCTAATGCTTTCTTGTGGTAAAATGTGCAGGTGTATTGATTCTTCAAGTGACACTGCTGTTGGAAGGAACAGATTGGTGGCCTGACTGTGTGGTTGGTCTATAATTTACGAAGAATTTTGTGTTGTGGGGACCTAGTGTTTGCAGCGTTAGATCGTCATTATTGAATTCTTGACCAGACAAAGTTGCCTCGATCCGGCGGAGGGGTAGCCTAGTGGTAAAAGCGTTCGCTCGACGCCGAAGACCCGGTTCGAATCCCCACATGGGCACAATGTATGAAGCCTGTTTCTGGTGTCCCCCGTCGTTGTATTGCTGGAAATATGGCTAAAGGCAGCATAAAACCATCTCACTCACTTCTTCTCGAATAACAATGGGCCAATTAACCATGGTACCAATTATCGAACACACTATGATAAAGATGATGATGGTGCTGATTAAAAGATACGAATATGCTCTAATTCTGCTTGTTTTGTGTTATTTCCAGGACCTCACGTGCGTGCTCAACCCATATCAGCGCCTGGGAAGCAGCTCTTTCATGCTCGTTAGTGGGGGTGCCAGGATATTACGGATCAGGAGGGACCACTTCCAACAATTCGCCCCTCCCGCCGCCCTCGAGTACACCCGCACCCAGGCCTTCAAACAACGGTGAGTTGAGGGTGTAGTTACATCCGTCACAGGGGGATACACGTATCAGTCCGCGTATCAACTGTTCCACCACCAATCCCGCTCACACGTCGCTGAATATGGGCAATGAACAAATTCCACCTCACCCAGCTTTTCCAAAAATGGTTGTAACGCATGTAAATCCGATTTGTACTGGCATGTCTTCTTTGAGAGGCATTTTAGAAGTTGTAACGATGAAGGAAAACCAAATTCTATGGATATTCAACTTCTTTATTGCAATGAGTGCGACGTTTCGATGTAGCTACTAACACTTGTTTGATAACGGTGTTAGTACCTACACCGAAACGTCAGATTCATTGCAATGAAGAAGTTGACAATCCTTGAAACTTAGTGTTCCTTCTGTATTAATCCAAGACAAATCTTATGGATAACAACTTCTTGATTTATTTTTCACAACGTTTCTGGGCTAGTTCTTGCCCCTTCTTCATCCACCTGAAAATGGGGCAAGAATTAGCCCAGAAACGTAAAAAAATACATCGAGAAGTTGTTATCCATGATTTGTCTTGTATTACTACACCAACTTCTAAATGCCTTTGAAAAATTTTCTTCAGTATTGACATGTTTCGGCCTACACGAATGATGAAGACGGGATAATTATTCGTTTTAGGATTACATATTTGCTCTTTCCCAAAGCTGATCGCTCTGGAGACTGGCTAGCTTTAGTCACTAGTGGGTTTCCTCACAAGATTCACCACGAATATGTTTTCAAGTGAGATTTCATGACTTGCGACAGGTATCATTTTTGGTGAAATACGACCAGCGAGAATTCCTGAGTAGTGAGGTGTCCTGACTAACATGGTTTCCTGACTAGCCAGGTTTGGTGATTATCGAGTTCTATGTTTAATGTCGATTCGAGTTTCCAAAAGGATAACACCTAAATTAATCTTTCCTCGCCTTGGTAATTGTACGTTTATACGTATTCCTACCACCATAGCATTATCTACGTAAACGATTTGCCATCCCCCTGATATCAGGGACTGTTGACAAAGTCCATAAACGAAAGGAAATGACTAAAGTTCCAATGCGTGAAATTGCGACGCAGCCGTTAATGTTTGCGTGAAGAAGATAACCCCCCAACTGAATTACTAACATAATGGCTTCGGAGTCAAATCTCCTGTTAACAGAGACTATGATAAATTAATTTTGTTTGCAATGGCATCACACTGAACTAACTAACTGATCTCGTGAAATCTCGTCAACGCAGTTTCGCATAATTTTTGCGCCTGGCCGCATAACAGAGTAATTGTCAGCTTCGCGCAAATCCGTGAGCTCTGCAAATTTTGGGAAGGTTGTCAGTACCGCTGTACGCGGTGCAATAGCATCTTGCTATTAGGTAATACAGGAGTCGAAATTCTGTTCTTAAAGAAATCAATGCTTGCAGACACTGTCATGCACAGTAATCTCAGAAAGCGCTGATTGGTAAATAGAGACACCGCACACAACCGACAGGATTACAAGTGGATTGTCTCTTTGTGATAACTGTTTCAGCAAAGGTCTCTTTTAATCTTGATTTATAAAGAGCACGCGTTCTTTTCACCAGACATTGCAATCGTATAATCTGATTGTCCGAAAATGGATTACATGAACATATGTCAGGCTAATGGAAACACGATGTTGTCATCGGAGGATCAAGTACCTGTATTGTAGAATTCTCTCCACGCACGGTGATCTGTGGAAGATCGATATCGATAACCCTTAGCTTGTGATTACATGGATGCTGCTCTGATGGTGCATATATTTTAATCCATACCTCAATTTAAGTGGATTCGGGAGTAATTTAAGTCAAAATACAAATTTGCATGTGGGCGTCCAGTCGCCAATTAATGGGTCTGGATGGACTGGTCAATGATCACAGGGCAGGATGTTCTTGCCCTCATCGCGCGTAGAGAGATCGATCGCTTACCATTCTGGACATTTTCCCCAGAATGTAGTCTGTCTCCGACTTAAAAGATGGATCATACATCACCACCAGTATAGCGACCGTATGTGGTGAAATTGTTAAAATCAATTCTTTGGAAAATTCAAAGAACTGGCTATGTGATATATTGATCAGTAGACGAAATAGAAGAGTCTGCAAAGCTTCTGGTTCCTACAAACAAGAACCAAACTTAATTAGTGATTAACAAACAGTAACTGAGATTTTACGTCCTTGCATAAGAAACAAGTCAGTTAAATGAACCATCAGCGTAGTTTGACTTACAGGTGAAAACATAGGAGACGTCTGTTTTTTATTAACCCGTGAAGGTCCGGGTTAGAATTGATCTTCAGTAACCCATGCTTGTCGTTAGAGGCGACTAACGCGATCGGGTGGTCAGGTTCGCCGACTGGGTTGACACATGTCATTCGTATCCCACTTGTGTAGATCGATGCTTATGCTGTTGATACCTGGATTGTCTGGTCCAGACTCGATTATTTATAGACCGCCGCCATATAGCTGGAATATTGCTGCGGTGTTAAGCAACAAACCAACTAACTAGCTCACACACAAGACCCGCAAAGTGAAATGTGGTTGTCATATCTCGCACTGCGTCCCTATAGATTATAAAAAAACAACAAGAGACATTATTCATTTATATATTAGGCAAGACCAATTTTATTTCTTGTTTTACGGATCCGCAGGTAATAGTTTTTCAAGGATAAGAAAAATAACAAAAATTAACTTAGCCCGCTCAAAAAAAATCTTATTGTTAAATGTGACTTAAGTTAAATACTCTTGAAATAAGTGTGAAACCTAAATCACTCAACTTATGTTTACTTAATATAAACAAATCAAAAGAGTTAACATGGAAACTCATGTGGGTTTTGCTTTGACTGGTGATTTTTTCCCTCCTGCCTTTAGGTTTTCTGAGGACAAAAATCCGTAAAGCAAGAAATAAAATTGGTCTGGCCTTAGTACTAAATTTGATCTCATCCAACTTGTAACTCCAACTCCTCTCCAGCCTTTTCGTTAAGAAAGCCACATGTGTAGTTTAACGGTGTTGCATGTTTTCTGCTGCTGAGGCAACCACCGATTAACATCATTATCACTGACGCCCTGCCTGCAAGTTGGAGGAGACGAGCTGCATCCTGGCAACGCGACGGAAATGAACATGACATGGCAGAGATCCCATTAACCCAGTGGTGCTAAATTTACCAGTTTCATTAGAATTTAAGGTTAATACAATTTCTTCTCACCTCGCAGCAAGAGCTCATGTTTCAGATGGCGTCACTAAACATGAACATCTTCTCTTAACTTAACTTTCTCTTAACTTAAAAAGGATGGAGTCTCGGGGCATCAATGTCGTAAAAGGTTCTTTCTGAAATAATTTTAGTAGTTATTTTTGCTAATTTAAAATATGATGACATATTATATGTTCAGATACCCACAATGCTTCCTGTATAGAATTAGTGAATGAGAATGACATTAGGGATATACGACTCGACACACAATGCTCCTGCTCGTTCAAAGGTGGTATCTGTATTGATAGGAGTAGTTTTGTGGATTCCTGATGGTTTATAGTCACGGATGAAAGCTATCTATACACATCACCATTTAAAAAATGGTCAAATATAACATACGTTATATATGGGATTACACTTAACCAGTACAGTTCGGATACCCCCCCAGGACTCGAACCCACACTCTCAGAGTCGAGCACCGACTATTGCATTGTATGTTAATGGTCTTAACTCAAATACGCCAGCACAATCCATACCACATCATGCCGTTGTCCATAACATGCACTATTCACTTGAGTTTCTGTATGCATGACTGCTGATCCTGTATGCTACTCCCCGATCAACTTATATTGCTTAAAGATGTACGGTACTGAAACGGCGTATTCTGTCAGTTTCTGTTTAAGTCGCCTTGCTTTGTTATGTAGAAGGATTATGTTGAGAAGACGATGTGTGTTAGCTTATCGTCGCGCTCCTGTGACGTGAAGATAAATATCGCCTTCTCTCCACCAACCTTTTAAAAAAGAGAAAACAAAAACGTCAACCGGTAGAGAATAATACGTCTCAATTATGTGCAGAAACAGTTGCCACTGGGAGAAAAAGAAGCGGTTAGGGAAGTTATACCAACTGACCAGTGAAAAACCAGTGATGACACCACTTCTTTCTGGGAAGAACACAACAAGAAATCTCGACTCTGAAGCTAGGGATGGGTACATGTCTACTCCGGGGGAGTATTTCAGTTATAGGCAGGAGCGTCAGCTCAACGAGGGAGGAAGCTTGGTCTATGCAATGGTCAAACGCAACATTGGAACCCTTGAGAATCAAAGTTTTTTTAATAAATAGGTTCAAGGCAAACCGGGATTCGAATTCACAACCATTGAATTCTGGCACACCAATGGTGCTTGATCCCTCCCCAACCAATTTTCCAAGGGATCGGCTTCTTAAAAGGGCTCGATTAGTTTTAGTGAAAACTTGACACTTTCACTCTTACAGTGTTCATAAATCACCGTCAAACAGTGATGATACCTGGTTATTTGCGTAAAGGTGAGCATATGTTTCCTCACCTTGAGAGTTTATTTTCGTACAGGGGCCACCGAGCCATTGTACAATTACAAAGATGACAATACAATCCAGCACCATACATAATAGAAGCTGTATGCTAACATCCCATTATCATTTTCAGCATATTCATAATATATTTTTCTTTCCAAACAGGTACCCCACTGACGACGTGCTTATTAGGTCATACAAAGAGCAGACTGACTGGGACGCTTTTAAGGGTAGCGTCGTCAGAGATGTGAAGAGCAAACAAGTGATCCTTCCTGACAGAAGGCGCTTTTACAAAAAGGCACCAAAGGTCAAAGACAAAAAGAGCCAGGTCTGGACATTCCTTGTGGACAACAGAGTCGTTGAGCTGAAGAGCCTTCAGAAACGGAAACTTTTTGAACAAAAGGAAACTTCAGCCGCTGAGAGGGTGTGGAGTCAGGACCATCGACCGGAAGTTGTCAGGTCAGTGCCGGAAAACTTCGTCATGCGCAGACACCGGTCTGTCAGATTCAGTGCCAACACGTCACTGGTTAGAAGGTTTCGCCCGATTGAGAGCAAACCTGTTTCGAAAGATGAAGACGAAGTGCCTGTATTTAACAAAGGGAAGAGGCGTTCAGTTTCCATTAAACTTCCAATAGAGGAGGAGGAGGAACCGGAAGATTAAAGCATCACCAGGGATTAGCCTATCAGAAGTTTGTGGTTTAGTTTGAATCACTTGGGTTGAACGTTGCCTTGAACAGTATTTCAGTTATATGGTTATATGTGCGTCAGTTTGAATGCCCGAGGTGAGTCAGATTATTGTGACTCTTTTGAAACCGATGAGCACTGGTATGGTGATGCCAATCAAGAAACTTTATCAGGGAAAATCGAACCCACGACTATAGGTTCCTTTCATGCAGCTTGCCAAATGGATTGAATACTTGTGGATAAGCAGTGTTAAAAACGAAACTGTAAGATTCAAAGAGGATTGAACATTCACTTTGCAGTCTGACTGAACATTGATCAACACAACTCCAGAAGACTTTAGGAACATACATTGAGAATATATTGTGACTGAACATTATTCAAACACGACTTAGGAAGACTTGAGTTCAAATAGTTAAGTCACGTTCTGGAGCAATGAAAGGAAAATCGAACCATTAACAAGTAAACATGTGACTGGCCTACCTGCTCATATGAAAAAAAAGATGAAACATATATTTGGAGATGTTACAGCTACTTTGTCAGACCAAAATGTTGAATGACGTGAAATGTGAAATCTGCAACAGGATGTATTGCAGCAAAATATCCTGTTATGAACCAGTAATTAATTTTCAATAATAAGGTAAATTAAAAACGCTTTTTTGTGTTGGCCACAAACAATCGTTAGACGAGTAACACAAGTTTGTAAAATGTGTCTTTTAAGTTGCATTGGCCACCTTTTCACATTGTTTTAGATTCAATTACACAGACGCGACATTAAAAATAATGTCCTTCCTTGTCCAAGGTTATATATCTCCGGTCCTCCAAACGAGGAACCACGTGCGATAATGTTTACACAATCTACAAGTATTTCCAGCAAAGTCTCTGAGGCCAAGTATCATCCGGTTGCAGACATGGTAACTGGGTGTGACGCAAGGAGCGACTATCTCGCCTGTGGTTTTATAACGTTGTTCAAACGGCCATAGGCGTGGAGCTCTTGTTATAAGCTGCTTTATATGAAACAGAATTATCAGATTATGGGGGAAATGGGAACATAATTAGATTCAATATCCAAAAAGTATTGATTCCTAAAAGGGACATTTTCGTGCCTTTTCCTGCACATTGGGTGACTCTGCCGACAGAGCGACATATCTCGACAACGAGATAAGCGGTCAAATGTGACGTTGTTCCAAGCCCGCACGTCTGTTAGTTTCACACATGTTGCTTGTTTTTCCGGCTCAAGAATGTCACTTCTGATATTGCATAAATGTGCACTTTACTGTTATCTATTCCCCGGTGACACGCAGCGCGAAAAGTACTAAGTACCTTGTATCCATGGAAGATCATGTGAGCCACTGCTGCAAGGTCAGTCATTACCACCTGAGGAACATCAGTGCCATAAGACATTTGCTGACGAGAGACGCAGCTGCCTCCCTCGTGAGATCTCTGATATTCTCTCGATTAGACTATTGCAACAGTTGGCTCTATGGAATCACCAATCAACAGATCAGGCGTCTGCAGCACATCCAAAACTATGTTGCCAGATTGGTCACTCGGACGAGCATAAAGGCACACATCACACCAGTGCTAAACTCGCTTCACTGGCTTCGCATTCATGAGCGAATTTATTTTCAAAATACTCGCACTCACTTACCAAGCTGTCCATGGTACTGGACCTGCCTATCTGAGTGATCTGACTGTCCCATACCTCCCTTCAAGAGCTCTGCGCTCTAGCTAACAACAGCTCCTTCGAGTACCTGTCACCAAACTTAAAACTTTCGGCTCCAGATCCTTCTCTGTCTCAGCCGCTACTCTGTGGAACTCTCTACCCGAATCACTGAAGTTGATTCCATCTCTAGAATGTTTAAAATCCAGTCGTAAAACCCACCTTTTCAAGCACTATACCTAAAAGAATCCCCACACAACTCATACCATTGTGTAGAACTCAACTGCCTCTGTTTCCATCGTTTGAGGCAATGCGCTTTGAGCATACCTTCATGGCGTGGATATAGTGCAATATAAGTGCTATTGTCAATTTCCTGTCAAATACACAGGTAAAAAATGGAAACGTTTCGATTAATGGTTTTGGAATGTTTTTGTATCCACCACAATATTTTTCATATCCGTATTGCAAACAGTTGTGTAAGCGCAAATTGACATAAGGACTGCTTCCTAACTTTTCTTCATGTTTGGCTCTTTGTTCTACTTCTACTATGATTTTTCTGTGTCATTTGCATGCATATAACTTTAGTATACCGATCGTAAGCCAGTTAATAGGCATGGTATTCAATATTGGCAATCGCATTACGACAAACAAACCACCACTTACCTGTTACATGTTATATTTGGGATATTTGAAACCTATTTCTGGTATCTCAAGCCGTGATATTGCTGGAATATTGCTCAAAGCGGCGTTAAATCATACTCACTCACCCACTCTTTATGTGAACATGCTGGAATTCTCAGTAAAAGGTTATCGCCGCCAATACCTGCAAGTCTGCTGATGGGCGGAAAGTAGCACCACTCACTCACTCACTCATTCTCTCACTCGATGAAATACTGGATAACAGGGACAGCAGTATTTTGTTTGTTGCACACAGCAATATTCCAGGTATATCGCGGCGGTCTGTAAATAATCGACTCTGGGCCAGACAATCCAGTGATCAACAGGATGAGCATCGATCTACACAATTGGGAACCGATGACATGTGTCACGTGTCAACCAAGTCAGCGAGCCTGACCACCTGATCCGGTTAGTCGAATCTTACGACAAGCATGGGTTACTGAAGAATTCTAACCCGGATCTTCACGGGTAGAGACAGCAGTAACAGCAAGTGTCGAATGTATATTACTTTATAAATGAATGCCTCTGTACGATGGCACTTGGCATGGTCATTGTACAAAAGCATGGTCCAGGGACCAGGGACCCGTTTCACTAAGCTATCGCAGGGCTACGACTGTCGAAAGTCTATGTTACAGTATAGGAGGTACGACAGTCGTAGCGCTACGATAGCTTTGTGAAACGGGGCCCTGACTTCTTCACTGGCCTTCAGTCACAGTTCGGTCAGTCCACCCCACATTCTCTTCCCACAGAGGTTACTTGTCATATCTTCCTACGAACCTCTGTTCTAATACGGCCATATTATCCGGTTCTCGTAAACTCCCCTAGCGGCAAAAAATCGCAACACAAATGCATTCTTTCTATCCAATCAGAACACGTGTTACATCGACTTAGATCCAACTTGACTAATACAATCAAATATGGGGCCACAAATATCCCTCCTCTGCCGGGGACTTGTGTTGATGTGACCCACAAGACATTTAATGGCTAGCTTGTCCGTTGTCAAAAGGGCCGCCATTGATCCGCTGGCCATTACACGACCGAGTTTTGTCTAGAAGAAACGTTTGCGCATCGCACAGGGGAAGAGGTTCTAGTTCTCCCGAAGCATACGGAAATTAACGAGGCCTTGCGAGTGATCACATTTGAAACAACGTCGCTGATTGCACAACTAAATCTGATTGCAACCAATCACGAATCCTGAACACTCGCACCATGAAAGGGCCGTATTAGAACAGAGGTTCGAAGGAAGATATGACAAGTATCCTCTATGGGAAGAGAATGTCCACCCCAGGGCCGAGGGCGGAAAGTGTTTGTTTTCGCATCATGTAGTCGCCAAAGGTAATTACTTTTACTCTGAAGCAGTGTTAAAAATAGATGTACCTGATAAAGACATGTGGAGGTATATATTTATCCGAAGCAGGGATAAGTATACACATGTACCACGTAGTTTTAATTTTGAAATTAGTAACATTTTGTGTCAGAAATCGTCTACTTTGTTGAGCACTTCTGGGACCCGTTTCACAAAGCTATCGTAGCGCTACGACTGTCGTAAGTCTATGTTACAGTATAGGAGGTACGACAGTTGTAGCACCTTTGTGAAACGGGGCCCAAGACAAATGAGTTTCCGGAATTATTTTGTGATGTGTTATTTGTATTCATCTAATGGGGTGATTAGGCTCTGTATTCCCCAAATGGAGGAAAACAGTTTTATATTCCTCTTATGAAGGAATTACTATTTAGATTAGTCGATAAAGGGATATGGATCTATACTCAGACAGTTCATGGATATAGATCTATGTTTTCTTGTGTGAGGTACACAGACAATATTGCCCTAGAGGAGGTATATGGATCAATATCCCTGCGATTGATGTATATGTGTATGTACCAATGTTCTCGCGATGGATGTGATGTTATGTGATGTGAAATTGGGTTTAACGTCGTGCTTGAGAATATTTCGCTCATATGACGACGTGCATGCGTGTGTATGTGTATGTGCGGCTGCTTGTACTAGCCCAGACTTAAGCTGGTTTTACAGCGCTAGCCCACTGAGATACTGCCGCAGTAAAGCATGAATACCCCACTCAGATACTGACTCTGAGCCGACCAGCCCTTGTTGTACCCATTAATGCCGAGCGCCAGGAAGGGACCAACAAGTACCATTGTTTAACGTCATTTGGTATGACGCGGTCAGGGATCGAACCCGCGACCTTCCGCTCTCCGGGCGAAACGCTCTAACCACTACACCACGGAGGCGATGTGTACGAATCAATATTCACCTGATGAAGAGATTGATGATGATTGATTAATTTATGGTCGATGTTAATTGATTGATCGATGATGACGGTTATTCAAAGAGATAAAAATGATGTCTACTTGTTCTGAGCCCCTACTCCCAGCACTTATCGCGTGTGCTAAATCCCTACCAGCAACTGGGAGGTGCAATTGTCTTAAACATGTTACCATACCCATCACCTCGAAAAATTGAAGTTAAACGTGTAAATTTACACCCCGGCAATACTGGTCCCTGTGAAATCGTCTCCGAACTAACATATTTCAACCATGTATAGGGATACATATTCTTCATAGGAATATATATTTGCGCGATCCGAAAGTAAGATATCAAGAGTTGTGACGGAAGACAG